ATCATTGGAGTAAAAACAGGTGCGCTTAATTGATTGTGGAGTAGACTAACCAATTTAATGATATTGTTTCGTTCGTGCAAGTGAATATCCAGTTCGTCCAGTGCAACACGATGATAACAAGCTTTCATATAAGAGATCGTTTAACTGAACGGATACTTCTCACATTTCAGTATCGCATTTCGCGTTGACTGTTTTATTTTCAACTCACACTTCGATCTGAGATTAAATTTTACAAATAGTTAGAAACTATTCTTCTCAAGCGTATTATGCTATCGGTTTCTTCAATGTACTGAATCATTCATCTTTCATTCCTCGAACATTACCTTTTAACTACATTTCGGACATAGCTTTCCTTTCTATCACAATCTATCGAAGCTGGATTGTGTCATGTATGCCACAAACAAGTACTCAATGCGTTTGATGAGTTAAAAAACAGAACGCAAAGAAAAAAAAACACGAATTTTCTGTACGGAGATGTGTGCAGAGAAAAACCACTTTTTCGCTGTTTTTTTTAGTTCTCCGCCTAAAAAACTCGCTCAAAACCTCACAAAGAGCCTTGAAAAGAGGTTTTTGGTTGGTTTTGCGACGTGCTCTTTCATATGGACAGATCAAAAATTTTTTTTGGTGCAAATGATTTTTCGGCCTGAAAACCAAGATCTTTGAAAAACGGAGCTTTCAGGTGAAAACGGGCAAAAACCATTATGATATTCGGAATCAGCATGTCTGATTACCCCTTGTCAACTAAGTTAAAGCTCAAAAGCGAGGGATCAGTCGGTGGCCTTCCCTCGTGAGTTCAATGATGTATATTTAGCAGAAAAAAATTTTGTCAAAAATTTGTGCCTTTGGTCCCCCTCAGGCACTAATGAGAGTAAATTGAATTTTTTTTGGATTTCGAGTGTTTGCCGCCAACTTTCTTTTGTCAATTTATAGGTTTTAAGTGATACCTTAAGTTCCCCATAAAGTGAACTTGTTCCGGTTAAAAGTATGACACTACCACGCCAAAAGTGTAGAAATGTCATGCTGGAGATCATGCCAAGATAAAAGTGTAGCAGCGTCGTGGATAAAGGATAACATTGTTGGCACGGTAAAAGTGTAGTGGTGTCACGTTTTATTTTGTGTCATACTACATGTGTAATAATGTCATGCTAAAAGTGTGATAATGTTATGATAAAACCATGATACCCGATTTTTACCGTAACATTGTTACACTTCTAGCATGATATTGTTACACATTTACCGTAACATTTCGGGATAGTGATGTTCTAGTTTCAGGGAATTTGGGAGCTGTTTCATTCGTTTGAATTTCCGCCAATAGAAATGCGAGAGAAAGATCTCTATAAATATAAGCTCTAAAATTTCCTTAGTGATGTTTTCTAGTTTATTATGATTAAAATCAGCTACAGTAAGAAAACTAATGGTAAAAGAAACGATTTGGCCGCAGTAGAAGTGAAAAACCAAGTAAAAAGCGCGGTTAAATCACAAAAAGACTATCGATATTTTACGAATTTTGAGGCTCCAGATAACGATGAAGACGGTGTTTGTCGAACAATCGGCTACAGCTATTTTTTAGAGCTGGATGAGCTCTATCTATTCTGATAATAAATAGAAAAAATTTTCGGAGAGATTTTAAGATATATGAGCTCAAAGTTTTCAATTTTTTCCACTAACTCGATCACTGTTCAAAAACACCGGTAGCTATCGGGCTAATTCTTTCGCTATTTTACTCGAGCTTTGTGCCTCTATAGTTTCCTCTACAGTAGCTAAGGGTTTTATTTAGGTTTGAGAGGAAAAACTCTGGATCTCTGGAAAACCATGTCCCACATGTTTTTTTGAAAAACGAACCTAATGGTCGACGATCTGTGTTTTTTGTTTAGATCTTTGCGGCTCGGAGGTAACGCACCGATGCGATTCTTCTCCTAAATTAAAAACTGAGATGATCAATCAATGGAGCTCGTCGAGTCGAGTACACATCCAAAACGATCATTAAGAGCAAAACTTTCTCGCCATCTTTACAAAAAATACCTAGAAAAAGCGACACTAATATCCGAAGAGTATGCTAGATTGATCTCCAAGACTTTCTGAGTCTACTGATACGATTTTTAATTGAAGAAAATGATTTAGCTGTTTTTTAAAAGAAATTCTATCGCCAGAAGTACTCGATATGTATGACCAAGGATATGTTTGTGTACAAGAATCATATCAAAATCGAAAGCTAATTGTTGATGCTTATATGGAATATGGTTTGGATGTAATATGTTGTATTTCATGTAAGAAGACTTGTTTTTCGCTCTTAGCTGTTTTTATTTGAACAGAAATGGTCGAAGTGTTGAGCACTATTCTAGGAACGTGACTATAATCCGCTGGTAGAACAACAGAAACGAAAAAATATTCCAAAAAGAATTATAAAAAATTGAAAAAGTATTTCTTAATATGTTGGATGGCAATACCAATGAATTTTTTTCAATGATGTGCCAATAAGAAAACTATATAATGATACATATGACGAAACAGTTCCACCAGCATTAACAACAATTGTAACAACTACACGCGTTCACCAGAATACAAATTCAACGATTAAAACAATAAGTAAGCTTTCTCACTCACTCTGGACTAGACAAAAAAATAAGCTCTTTTCTTTGTAAAATGTATTTGAATCGACTGTCATTTTCGTATAGCCTGGCTGTGAACCTTTGACAGCTCCATTGTCAATTTCATCAACCGTAGTCAAAACAACGACAACAAGGCCTGTACGAACTCAGAATAATACCAATACGAAAAAATGTAAAAGCAGTTAAAAAAATGAAACAAAAGTCGAAGACTGTTCACAAGAAATTTATACCGCGTACTCCAGCACCGCCTCCCCTTCCGCCGATTTCTTTGTTTAGCTTCAAATAAAATAAATAATCCAATTACTGATCGTAAAGCTCGCCGCTCGAAATATTGGTAAATAGTTAGAATCTCTGCGCTTTGTTTCGATAGTGTGACAGCTAGGATCTAATTAAGGTTATAAATTGACAGGAATGTTGTCTGGCTCAACAAAAACCAAAAATGTCCTGGAAAAACGGACAAACAGATCATCTGTTCTGCCCTGTATCTATTACAGATAAAAATTTGTATAAGAAAAACAAAGCACACCTGACAACTATCATCCTTTTCACCTTTCTTTCCACTACATTCTCCACATTGGATATGTTCATTATCACATGTACATATTAAAATATGATAACTATTTCGATTTATTGCTATGTAACATATTTGTGTCAATATTAAATAATTTTTATCACTTAATTGCACATGAGCCAGTGTCTGACTTGACGATGATTTGAATGTGTAGACGGAAATTAAATGTTTAGCTATTTTCATCCATCGTTCCGATTCATTTGAACTCATGTCATTATTGTACAAATCATAGTAATCACACAGTAACTGCTGTACCTATAAAAATACAGTTGATTATGTTACGACTGGGGTTGACACTTTCCCGTTCCTTTCCAGAGTAACGATAAAGTGGTATCTTTTATTTCAAAAGTAAAGAGTAAAGATATAATGCATATCTTTGGTTTCCTAAGAAAAAGGAAAGTGGGACTTTTTATTTTCCAAAAAAAAGAAAAGCGATATATTTTGTTTTTGCAAGAAAAAGACTTTTCTTTTTTTCTTGCAAAAACAACTTATATCCCTTTTCTTTTTTTCTTGCAAAAACAACATATAGCGCTTTTCTTTTTTTGGAAAATAAAAGGTACCACTTTCCTTTTTCTTAGAAAAAAAAAGATATTCATTATATATTTATTCTTTTTTTGTAGTAAAGAAAAAGAAAAACTTTGGTTAATAAAAAAAAGAGGTAGGAACGAGAAAGTGCCACTCCTAGTTTCAACTGTTTATAACGAGTTTCTAGATAAAAATAGACTGTAATTCAAATTTATGAGAATCTAAACTAACTCTAAGCAATACTTGTTAACTGCGAAGAAAAAGCTAGTATTTCACAGTCATCTGTCCTATTTATGTATAACGTTATAAAAAGTAGTTGATTATCAATGCCAACAGTTTGTTTTTCGATGAGAAGTATTACCTTCTAATGAATGCTATAATTGTTCATTTCATTCCGTTGTTATGTATTTAGATATCTCACCATCTTCATATTCAAACAGATCCTTTATTTGTTGCAATTAAAAATATCTCATCAACAAATCCCATTGATCGTTGCTTAAATTTTTCACACATTTTTTACATGAACTTCTTTCAGACACTTATAATATTGAAAAGATTTTTGATCTGAGTTATTTTGTTAGAGACACAGTGTGCGATAATTATTTTATTTTTCTAATTCATGTTGTATTTCATTCAAATTATTTTGATGATAAATACATAGGAAATAGTAACACTTTTTGATGTCAAGGTAACATTTCATTGTTAATTTGTGTATTATGACTTAACGACAATCTGATACTATTCAATATTTTATTTTTCCTTTCTTTTCTTGTTCCTAATCTACAATGGCAAAGAACAGTGATGCAATCACCGAAGCGTCGTTTTACCATTATTTAGAGGAAAGAAACAAAAAAATGTTTGTATAGATGAAAGGACATTCGTAAAATATTTATTTCAATCGTCACGATTGTCTCGTGTTTTTTAAGAAAAAAATTCGACACAGAAGTGTTTGTGCATTACGAATAATGTATAACATACTTGAGCATCATAAAAATATGAATGAGTAATTAATAAACCCAAAAATAGAGAAAGGATAGTTGTCAACAAAAATACTTTTTTCGGTTTTATTTTTTGTATAGATGAATAATATTCGCGTGTTTTCATGTTTTGGATTGCAATAGTTTCGCTTTCTGTTTTGCAAAATAATAAATTAATCAAGGTAGAAAGACAAGGAATATATACCTGTAACACACTAGTTGACAAGTTTTGACTGTTATATTTCATTTTTTTTCAACAAAATAAGGACGGAATTGATGTTTTAATTTACTAACTTATGTTTTAGACGAATTCTAGTTTACTTTCCCTGAAAAACAGACTCTATTTGAAATCTAAATCATCACATTTTGTCAAATGACGATAGCCAGACTTATTTGGGTCTGCTGTCGTCTTATTAGATGAACATTTCTATGTATTTTTTTCTTTCTTGACGAACATGTCTTGTTTACTATAATGATTTCAGTTAAAAATTTGAATTAGTTTTGCTGATAATCTATCTTTCAAGTTCTAGAAATATTTTTAATATATTCAAATAGTAAAATCTGTATAGATAATAACTATTCGTTTTTATTTTATTCCAAAGTCAATAGACATATGTTCCATTGATAATTTACAAAAGTGAGTTCGATACTAGCTCAGTTGTGGTCTTATTTTTTCTCATCATCTAAACAGCAATACTCTCCATACATTAATTATTATAAAATGGCTGGAATAACATCAAGTGTCACTGACAAAAATAAAAACGTATTAGAACTACGTGATCGAGATATTGGTCGATCGAGTCAACAAAAATCCATTAATGATACATCATCATCGTCATCATCATCATCATCTACAGTACAAACAATGAACGAACAAGCAGAGATGCAACGTTTAAATTCACGTTTTATCAATTATTTAAAACGTTTACGTGAACTTGAACTGACAAATGATACTTTAACAAAACAATTGAGTGATGTACGAAAATCCGTTAGTATGGATGGTTCAAGTGTCATTCTACAATATGATCCTGAATTAACAAATTTACGTCGACAATTAGATACATTAATACACGATAAAACTTTAGTAGAATTACGTATAAATCATTTTGATTATGATATTAAACGACAAAAAGCAAAATGTGATACATATGAGACAAGAAACGATGATATTTACAAATTAGAACAAGAATTAAAACAAATTAAAGATGAATACAATTATCTACAGTCAAAAATATTCAATTTACAGCAAATAATATCGAAAACAAAACAAGAGGAAGAATTTCTAAATCATGAAATTGATAAATTATTAATTGAACATGAAAATGAAATAATTGCTCGTTATGATCTACAAAATGAAATTCAAACTCTTGAAGAAAGTTTAACGTTTAAACGAGCTCTCTATGAACATGAACTAAATGCATTAGAAAAATTATTAAAACAGAATAATTTGACAGATGATTTTTATCGAAATGAATTTGATCGTGCTACAAAAGATTTAAGAAATGAATATGAACAATTGCATTATCAACAAATTTCTAATTTGAAAGAATATTATAAACAGAAGCAAGATGAACTTGTTGAAACTGTTAGAGTAATGAATAATTCATTAACCACACAATCACAATCAGCAACGTCAACCATAAAAACATTAGAAACAACAAAAGAATCTGTTAAAATGTCGAAAAATGATTTGTCAAATTTGTTAGATAAGAATAGTGATCTGTCAGCAAAAGCTCAATCATTACAAGAAAAATATGATGAGATAAAATTGTACAATCGGCAGCAGACATTTGAACAAGAGAAACAAATTGATCAATTAAGAAATGATATCGAAGCATTGGCCACATCACACGATCAAGTTATGAATAGTAAAACATCGATGGAATTTGAAATTTTAACATATAAACGCCTATTAGATAACGTTGAGAAACTCCCATTAAGCCAAACAACAATAATAGGAAGTAGTAATAATCAATCAACAATAGCGACCACTACTACAACTACAAGAACAATTACAACAAAAATGGTTCCCGTACCATCAAAACAAGCATCGTCAAGTAAGTTTTCGGGAAAAATATGTTTGAGAATGTTACCTCTTTAGTCAGTTATGATAAAACGACGTTTTCGAAATATATCTTATTCTTATACTCGTTCTTATACATCTGAGCGTGCTGTGTACGATGGGGGTACTACGAGATATTTTCATAATGTCACCATGTATTTATCGCAATTCTTGTCTCAACAAATGTACTCTTAAAAGAGTGATCTCAAAAACTTGACCTAGCTCTGAAATTCCAACTAATTTAATTAGATGCTAGGACCTGTGAATCTCTCGAAATCACTAGATCAGCTCAATAATTCAGTTTAAAAATGTGTTTCCATTGTAGATGTGACAATAGAGCCCACTGTTTCTAACAAAACTGGAACAAAGAGGCGAGCTGAAGATGGTGGCAGTAACGAAACACCCAACGCAAAATCAAAAAAATCATGAATCGTCTTGACAAAGTGGTACTTCATTGTTAAAAATGAAACAATTAGTTAATTTTTTTGTTCTTGGGATATTGGGCCATTTAGAACTGCTCTGGATTCTTTTTTAATGGTTTATATCCTCCTACGAGTTAGAAATAACGACTTTCGTCAAAAATATCGATTTAGAGAAAAATACATAAAAATATAGTCTCAGGTGTCTTCTTTCAACTGCACTAATTTTTATACAAGAAAAACCGTATTTAGTTGATTTTTATATAGTTTTCTGGAAGTCCTACAGGAAAAAAATCAAATTTTCAGACTTTTCATGCTTTAGTCTAGGTCACACACGGTGGCGACGCAGAAGGGGATAGATGCACCTTGCTTTTAGAAATTTTGGTAGAAATTTGTTCTGATTTTGTGAAATAGAACAAATTACTATCAGCTTTACGTGTCAATTTTTTTTCTAGTTTTTTGTTAATATTTCCTCAAAATAAAAAAAAATAGTTATTAGGAGTTGTATTCGTGAGTATGATCTATAACGTGTCATCGAAGTTTTTTTCATATCAGAATTTTTCGAGAATTCTTTGTAGTAGCGATTCCAAAAGAATTCAAAACTTAGAGGAAACAGGGTTTCTGGAAAACTGTGAAGTTCTTGCTATAGACCTATGACAAAAAACTTCTCTCACCCTTATTCGCATGCAAATTCTCTTCGTAAAGTGGAATGCAAAATAGGGCAAAACTCGAGTTTAGGAAAAGCTGTGAACCCACAGGCATGTGATATTATTTCTTTTATTTTGCAGCCCTCGTTCTCCTCTATCGTATAGGACAGCCGAAAGCACTAGTATCAACGCATGCGGCACGCACAATATAGCGGGATTCTCGAAGTGAATCTCAAAATTTCTTTTCAATTTTCTGCTTGACGTTGATAGCTAGAACAATTCTGAAAAAAGATCTAAGTAGCTAACAGAGTTTCTCCATATAAAGATTTCATCAAAATGTCTGGAATCTGAGTCTCTAGAAAATCAAGTCCATAAATTCGACCGATATATTTTTTACAAGCAGCTGTATCGTGTTGAGGAAACATTTTCTAGCAAAATTAGACCTTTTCGAGCTCTCTGCGACATTCTTTTCATGAATCAGCATTCAACTTACAAAGCCTCTACTTCGAACATCGGCAAACTTATTGGGAAAACACAAAAATATGAGAGCCTTCGATAAATGATAGAGATAATAGAGCCTTTGGTAAAATGACGGTAATCCAAAATTCCTGCAAATTTTTTTTTCCTTTTTTTCTGATTTGCTTGGATGGAGCTCATCGAATTATCTAGGAAAACATCGACTTTAGTTTTCTAAAATATATTTTTGGATAAGTTCGTAATTCTCAATTATCTCTATCAGAAATCAATTTTAATAGAGAATTTGACGGCGCATCGATATTTATCTATACCAGCATGTCGGGAATCTTTTCTGTGCGCGATGAGGCTATTACAAAAAATGTGTCGTTGGAATTCTGGGACTTAGTTTTGTAACTTAGTTTTGGATTTTCCATGGACCTGGGTCCTAGGAACTGTAGTGGAATCTTTATTCGGAATATATAGTGGCACTTCCGGCAGTGCCAAAAAGAAGCTATTGACGCTCCCAGTAACTATTTGGAAGTGTCAACTACGGGCTATTGGCACTCTCTGGGAGTGTGAATAGCTCCTAGTTGACACTCCTGGGAGTGTGAATAGCTCCTAGTTGACACTCCTGGGAGTGCCGATAGACTCAACCATTTTCATTTGCCAGTAACCAGATTGCAAACTCCTTGAGTGATTCGAATCTTTCCTCACATTCGTTAGGCATGTTTCATTCACTCATGAGTTCATTTAACGAGAGAAAAGTTTTATTTGCGAAAATTTCATCAGAGGGCATTGAAAACAATTTTTAAGGTCTGAAAATAAGTTAGGGTTAAAAAACACATCAGATCAGTTAGCATAAGATTGATCTGTGAGGTGATCAATTTTGCCTCTTATCGACACACGTTCTTCCATAAGAACTATATTATCAAATAATTAAAAATTATTTTCACATCTTCCATGACTCTATACATTTATTTTGTGTCTTTTTAATCCGAGAAATCTACAGGAAAAGAGAAAGAAGAAAAACAACATGTGCTTAGAATGAAAATTTTATTTTAATAGGTTCCACCATCGACTATCAATTAAATACCCATAACTGCTATCTAATGCTACCTTCTTACTGTATTTATATATACTAGCATGTTTTGAATGTTATATTCCACAGTACCATACATCTCTCTCTCTACACATATACGTAATCTATACATCTCATATCATCATCATCATCATCGTATTGTTTACCTTAATTGTTGTCTGGAGTGCTGCTGTGGCATTTATCGATGCTGGTAGTAATGAATATTATGAATCACGATTACCAAAACATAGTTGTTTAAATGAATGTTATAAACATGTTGGGAACTATGTTTTAAATGCTGTTAATTTAACTATTCCTGAAATAATAACATTTCACGCTGATGGCACATTCAACGCGATTAATTCTTTTCAAGATGGCAATCAATATTCAACAGATCCAGGTGATAGACCCTACTCAAATGAATATAACATTTGGAAATGTAATGGGAAAAATGGTATTGAGGCTAAATCATTAGACTTTGCATTTCCATCATTGGCTCGACCATATTATCGAGCAGTGGAGGAAAATACGTACTCACTTAAATTTGATCATGATCGATTTGACGGTAAAGCGGGATACACTGCTTACAAACAAAATTCTCTAAGCCAAAATCAACTATCCGTACCGATCAATGGACCATTTGAATTCTCTGTTCAAGGCTACAAAGTGTTCGATTTATGTGAGCAAAAACAACATAAGAAGTATTAGTAGAGATATCAATGATGATGATTGTTGCTTGCAGCGACAGGGTTGTTTATTAATTAAATTAAAATATAATTAAGAGCCTTCGCAAAGCACTAGCTTGGAGCACCTTCTGGAAAATGAAGGACATATTCCGCTCGAAAACCATACCTACCCATCTCAAAACAAACATATTCCAAGCAGCATGTCTCTCAATACTTCTGTACGACTGCGAGAGCTGGATCATCATCAGTAAGCTCTCGCACCCAAAAAAGTCAATGTTTTCAATTTTTGAACATTCAATAAATGCAAAGTTCTGTTCGATCTCGAACAAAGTCTCAACAGCTACGCCACCAGCTGCTACAGAATCATGTTCAACATCAAACGCTTGGATAAGGTATCAAATCAAACAATCTACAAAACAATTGGAATCGAACCCCTAGTTTTACAGATCCGACGGCGATTGTCTGCAGATCAGATACGCTGACGATTGTCTGCGAAGAGAAAAAGACGAGCTGATTAACAAGTACGTCCTCTATTCGCCCAAAGAAAGCCACGACAAACGAAAACAGGGCAAACCACGCCTGTTATATCCGGCATCTATCGGCAAGCTCATCAACAGTGACACCCCGCCATCGGTCGACGAGTTATGAGCAGCTGCAAACAACAGAGAAAACTGGGCCAAGATTGTTGACGCCTGTAAACCAAAGTTGTTTGCAGTCGACTGATGGTGGTGATGGTGAATATATTAAAGTAAAATGAGAAATGAGGTACCGAACAGAACCTTGCATTTATTGTTCAGTTGTGTCGTCTGGAGAGTGGTTTAATGGATACATTTCAAAATACGTATTATTAAAGATATGCCTAAAATAACATTTTTACCTATTTCCATTCGAGAACGGAATGATAAAACAGCTGTATTTTCATAGTGTTCAAAGCCGAGACACTTTTCATTTTGTAGAGAAATGCTTAATCTACTTAATTACGTAGTTCCCATTTTAGATTAGTTTGTAGCTTCATTGCAATAATTTTTTGCAAAGGAGCGAAAAGTGAGAACCGTTAGCTGGACAAGCTGTTTCGCTCAGATTTAAGAAAACTGAAAAAAATGAAGCGTCGTACAGCTCTCCACGATCTTTCGTTGCAAAGTTACAGGCATCAGAAAATCATATAATTTACGTATAATTTACGAGAAAAACGCTAAAAATCCCCTAAAGAATAAGCAGAAGCACATTGTGACAGGCATCAGAAAATCCAGAGAAATGTGCTTCTGCTTATTCTTTAGGCGATTTTTAGCGTTTTTTTCGTAAATTATATGATTTTCTGATGCCTGTAACTTTGCAACGAAAGATTGTGGAGAACTGTACGACGCTTTATTTTTTTCAGAATTTTATGCTCTTTTAGATGCCTATATTGGAAATATTTTTAGCAAAACTCTCTAGGACTTAGAGCTCCGCTGGGGGGGTTTTCTAGAAAACTTTCTTCAAAAACCTTTTTCCTGGAATTTTGACGCATACTGCATTTGATTGAGACCTTCAAGGACTACCCAAATCATTATTCAGATTTGACCTGGCCACGTGGCTACATCGAAAAATTTCAAAAATACAGTGGCTCTATAATTTTTTCCAGTACTGTAGATCATCGAAATCGGAGGGGGGGGGGCAACGGCCCATGGTCCCTCGTTAGATATTTTCTTTGCACCAAACAACAAACTTTATTTAACTTTTTTTGTCGAATTTTTCTCTAAAAACGTAATTTTGCATACCGTATTCTATTTTATTTAAACTTTCTTCTTCAATCAATTGTACATATCTCCGGACCGAAAAATTTTAAAAGTTTGTTCGGTCAAAACCGATTGTAGATTCGTCTTCCTCATGGTTGATTATGTGGTACGCAAAAACTTTTGGATCGGGGTACTTTGGAAAAAAATTTGCCATGGTCTTGTTCAAAAATTTTTCCAAAAGTTACCGTATGGGACCAAAGGCAAAAAGATGTCGAAAAATTTTTCTAAAGTACTCCGATCAAGAAGTTATCGCGTACCACATAATCAGTGATGGAGAAGACGAATCTGCAATCAGTTTTGGCCGAACAAGCTTTTAAAATTTTTCGATTCGGTGATATGTTTTAGTCATGTTTTAATAAGGAAATTTTAGTACGGTGCCGAAAATTTTGAGCAGAGAAATCTGCCAGACAATTGATGCGAACTATTTCTCGACATGTTCAACACTCGATAAAAGTTTAGTCCAGATCGAACTTATAGTTACCAGATAGATTTCTCATTCCAGTGGAGCCTTAAAGAAGAGACGAAAATGCAGAATATTTTATGGCAAAGTGAATAAGTTTCGATAAATCTGATCCCTTCAAGTCACTTGTTCATGTTTTCTATCACAGGCGCGTTGCGTAGATGAGAAGTATAATAAATTGAACACTATGATATTCGTAGCGATGAATCCATTTTTTTCTTATAACTCAATTGCTTTTATTTAATGCTATAATAATAAAAATATACAAAATGTTTTGCCATTAGCACATATACACATAAACCAACCAGAAAAATATGTCTTACAAATACAAAGTTGTAAAAATTGCAAAAAACGAACCCGAAAGAAAAACAAATATAAAACTTAACAATGAATGCACAATTAACACTGTAGTGAGCGAACGAGAAGGTATGTAGAGTATGTACATAAAAATGAAACATTCATTCAAAATTTTTATTATTATTTTCTAATGTACTCACGAGTTGATCAAATTCTTCTACTTTCGATTCAAATACAAGTAATTCTTCACTTAATTGATTAATCGTTTCACCGAGTGATGGTTCAACAATAAATGATTCTAATTTTGGTGGTTGTCGACAAGAACGTATAAATAATGCTAGATCGTCTGTTGAATCACTTTTGCCGAAAAATGGTTTCTAAAAAAAAAATATAAATTACAACAACAACAATAAATAAAAATTAAATAGTCAAAACTTACCACTTCTACTAGGATAAAATCATCCGGTGCTGTTTCATTATTATCACCCGTCATATAAAAATTAGTTTGACTACGAATATCTTCTTCTTCCTGTTCCATTTGTTTATCATTTTGTTGTTGTTGGTCGTGTTGCAACGTCATCAAAAATGGTAGGTCAGAATCATCGTTGTTATTATTAAAATTATTATGATTATTACTATTCTGACGAGAAAAAGACGATGGTGTTTCTATTGATGTACGAGGTGTATCTCTTATTGTTGGTCCAAATGCTGCACGAAGCTTACTGAAATACATCTTCTCAGGTGTACTGAAAGAGAAAAAAGTTATTTATTTTGAAATGAAATTATTTATTAAAATATCCACTTACCCATGACTAGACGATACTTCTGAATCACAACTTGTGTGGCGTCTTTTCATCACTTCGATTGGTGAACTTTTTGGTACACTTCCATTTTGTTCTGATGGCAACTGTGCATCATTGTATCCACCACCACTACTATCACTACATGAAAAATACAAAATAATAATTTTTAACGATAAAAGTATACGTATCATACTCGTCTCCTGTTGTAAAATTTGTTTGTCGATAGCCGGACGTAAAATGATCGTCTTTGATATCTAATGCTAGATTATAATTTTGTTGTTGTTCATGTTGTGGTGAGACGGTTAAACGTGTGCGGTATGCAACATTGACAACAAAACGTCCAATAGGTGTTAAAATAGAACCAATTGTTTTTTTTGAATAGTGTTCACCTAGATGATTAACTAATGGTTCACCACTATACATACGATAACAAATAATATATTTATCGGGACTTTGTTTTCTTGATAATTGATATGTGGGTGTTGAACGTGTAGCACATAACAACGAACGTAAGACAATACTCATACGATTATAGATATAAAAACGAACACGTTGTGTTTGATCTGTTACAGAGTCGTCGAATGATATACACCATGTTTCCAACGTCATTGTATCTCGATCGGGTGTTCTCAGTGATATTTCAACACAAAATGGAACATAGGGACTATCAATAAGTAGTTTTTTATCACCAATACATTTTTTAGCATTTACAGTTACTTCTGGAATATCTTTTATGGATAAATGAAACTAAAAAATACAAAAACTATTATTCTAATAGTTACGTTCTGACGATGATTTAACATTAAACTAAATACTCGATGCATTACCCATTCACTTCCGGAAGAAATAGGTTTTGATTTTGTTGTCTTTTTTTCTCCTAAACGTGATTGAACAATAATTTGAGCCGCTTTGACCAAGAAAAATTTTGTAAATTTTTCAAGTGCGTCATAATCTTCCTTACTCAAATGATATTCACTCATACAAATAGATAATTAAAATAATCTAAAAAATAGAAAAATAAACAGAAATTTACAGCCTAAGAAACGCACAGTATGCAGATAGAAAAATAATTCTTAATCAAAACATTGTAAAAAATACAAAAACGATTCAAATAATAGTGGGAAAAAAAGTATTAATAAGAGAATTGCTTGAATAATGGTCAATGTTCGTTTTTGTTGTATACTCATATGTGTTGCTAAAAACGAGGAACAATTTGTTTGCGCTATAACAAAATGTAACCATTTTTGTATTTCTGTACCACTCTGCTCGATATTCATATCTAATAAATTAGAATTGCTTATTTTACGACTCGTAAATATACACTGTTTCACAGAGGACTGAGACCTCGTGGTTGCGCCATTCAAAACTACCATACACGAACTTGCTGGTGTGAGATTTAATGTTTTTAAGTAACAAACATTGATTTCAGCTGAACTATCAGGACAGCCTAGCTTGCTCAATGAGGACAGTTTGTAAAATGTAGAATTGTGGGATAATGTGGTGTTTGATAGAGGAAATGTTAAAAACAGTCCTAAATACCATGAGATAAATTGAACCATTGTTTTTGCATGCAAAAAAGAGAGGAGGAAACAGCAAAGGTGAAAGAAGCGCGTGACTATAATTAGATTGTAAAATTAACGGTAAAAAATGGACTTATTTCATTAGCTTCAGATTGAAGAAATAAACTGGCTATATTTAGACTTTTTGCTCAGCCGCAGAAGAAAAAATGTGCTGCGTTGACTCTAAGAGACATTCAAAATCAAATACGCTTTTTTTCGTTAAATGTGACCACTGCTTAGATTTAGATTTAGATTTTCGTCTTCATCAGAAATAAAAAATCTGGTTTGGACTCAATTGAGATACAATCTATATTTTAATCAAGTATCTCAGTTGAGAAGCCAATATTTGCGTGAAAATGTTCGTTTCTCAACTGAGATACAATTTTGACACGTGCGTTGAAACGTGCAAGAGTGTACAAAGGTCTAATATTCAATAGTGAATGAAATGAAATTAGGTATATGATGTATCTCTCCTGACTATCTAAGTATGCAAAATGGCGTGAAAGTCGCTGTAATTCTTGTAGATTCTGTAGAACTATTGAACAATAGACTTTTGCACACTGCACTCTTGCACGTTTCAAAACTGTATCTCAGTTCAGAAACGAACATTTTCACGCAAATATTGGCTTCTCAACTGAGATATTCTCAACTGAGATACTTGATTAAAATATGAATTGTATCTCAGTTGAAACGTTACGAAAAATCCGTCAGTGAGTCCGAGAAGCTGGTCACTCAGAAGATTTTTTGACATATACTGATCGCACAAACCTTTTATGTATAATGACCTTCTTTAGTTTCTCGTTGTGTGATCCTATCAATCAGAGCGTTTCTCTAATTCAAATAGAATTCTCTCAACATTCTCCTTAGTTCCTATGAGTTGTCAATTTCTCTATTTTTTTTTAATACTCATCTTTTTTCTTATTTTTTTCAACTAGTCATTTTATTAAGATATTCTGAAGTAATGCAAGTAAACAAACTTTTTTCATTGTTCATGAGCAGATGGAAAATCCATAGTGAATGCACCTGAACATAGGTGCCGGGGTTAGCTACTCAGCTACAAGAATGTCATAGGTGCTTGCAAGTAAAATATTACTTAGCCCCGAATATCTAAACAGCCAGCCATTTTAGGTAATCATGTGAAGATAAAAACGCACGTCATTCTTGTAGACATATGTTCTACTTTTATATATGTGTGAATGCGAAACAAAACGGCGAACGAAAAAAAACTTGGTACCTATGTTGTGTCCAGCGCAGACAACTGTTTACCTCTCAAGTAGGTATATTTACTTAAAAAAATTCAAGCACCTATGACATTCATGTAGCAGGGTACCTGGATAGGTAGCTAAGAAAAATGCAAGTACTCGGGTATCTATCGTCAAGTACATTCACTAGGGATAGCACATAACTATTCGCAACTAGTAACAGTGAAAATTTTTTGCAAGTCCCTGCCGCTTATAGAAAATTTTCAAACTCATAGGCAGATTCTCTATCTTTGGTCTTTATTCTTTAGAATGATAATACTTTGACGGGTCCTGAAGAAATCTACCATGATCAAATGTGATGCAAGATTTTGACATATATTTTCCTCAAAGTGATTATTTACTCTTCTAATTTTTAACTCAACTTACGGTCTATATTTCAAAGAAATAGTTCGACTGCTGATTAGAAAAATGTATTCAGAGCCTTTGAGTATGGGAAGAAAAATAAGCATAAAGTTACAAAAATACAAGATTATCAATAGTTTATTTTATTTAATTAAAAAACGACAAAAAAAAAAAACAGACGACAAGAAAATGAACGTACGCGTTTTGCATAATCTATATATATTGTACGATTAATGTCTCATGTATGAAAAAATGGCTTTTACTTGATACGAAAAAAATATATATTTAAATACGAATCGGGTTTTTAATGATGTTGTGGTTGTAGCATTTCTGGTGTAATACCAAAATCGGTCAAATCTGGCCATGTTCTTTCTACTACCTTAAACCAATGACCTAAACATAACAAAAATGGAATAAACGTGATAGATCTCAAAATAATATATTACAACACGTACCACAATAGCATCGTTTCGGTTCTCCTTTGTGAACATACATCCATTTAATATGATAAACATCTTCGTTACCTGATATAAAAAAATATAAATATATGAATAAAATGAAAAAGCTAAGATAGAAATTATTTTAATTAGAAAATATTTTGGTCTACTTACATACACAACCGATAAGACGTTTGTCAAATGCACTTGGAACTAAATTTGCATTTTCTGGTGAACTATTTGCTAGACGTTTAACAGGCATCATACCCCATGGATCATCATATCCTTTAAATTTCTAAAAAAATACGTATGTCCAATAAATAACAGAATGAGTTTTTCTAATTTTATAACTAACCATTGCGTATTCAAAACGACGTTTGTTAAGTGCCAAATCCCATACATTTGGAAAACCTAAAAGAATAAAAAACAGTGATATATTTGACTGCACAGATACTCAATAATATATTTAGACAACTCATACTTACGAACTTTTCCATCATCGGCCGGTAATACTCGATTTTTTGATGCTGCTGGATAGGATACTGCTCCTCCTTCATGTTTAGCTGAATGAGGCTGGGAATGAGATGACGATGTGGGTGAATGAGAGGAATCTTTTGAACTCGATGCTGCTGATCGAGTACAACAAATAGATAACACACGTGGTGTCGGAATTTTATTTACTGCTAGTTGAGCAAGCATTTTTTATCTAAAAGAATAGAGTGTAACTATCGCTGTACATAATAGCGACTGATTTAATATCGGCTAAACTTACGATATCCAAACTATAGTTAATTCACTTCTAAACTTCGTTTACCTAGGATGAGCCATAAAAGTTCTTAAAACGTTCTGAACTCAAAAATCTTATTAAAAATACTTAAATATTGAATAATGTCGTTTCGAATAATGGGCCGACTCAAAGAAAAGTGCATTTCGGATTTATATAATCGTTTGTGAATAACGCATCCAGCGACGACGAGATATCCCATAGCAAACCAATGTGTTCATACAAAAGTTTTTTTACAGATAACTTTCTTTTTTAATATACAGGATGAAAAATTTGATTGTTAGTAGTTATGTTTACAGTTTAAATAGTTACACATCACGTAACCAAATTGTCACTGAAAAACATACAGATAAATAAACCGTCTTGTATAATAGCTTTGCATGAGACTGGACAATCATCACCTTCACAGAGTCAGGATACGTTAGCATAACTCTACAAACCAGAATAAAAAAGCAAAATACCAAATTTTTTATCAAGTTTTCCTGCTTGCATTTGTTTGTATGGTGTATTTTGTTTTTTTGAGGTCGGAATAACCTAGCACTAACGACTGCTGATGATGAATATAAAAAAACCTAGCTATCATCTGTTTAGTTGTTCACAGTTTCATTAAATAAGAAACGTAGAACCATAGAACTACGATGGAAAGTGTTGACAGATAGGATAGAAATGAGATGCTCTAACCCATCATTTAGTCCTAGGGTACGTCCACTCTTTCAAATAGCAATGAATTGGGTGCAGATTGAAATGCATTAGGAAAAAGTTAGCATTTTTGGCAGCTTCACAATTTTCGACCTTTTTACATTGATTAGAACTATCTACTTTTCGTTCTTAATGAATCTTGGCCAGTGAAAGTATTCTACAACCAAATTGTCTCGTGTAGTCCTACACTTACATTTACAATCAAAGTTTAGCCATTAAAATTATGCTTGTGCCTCGCTTTATGATGTAGCTTTTTGCCTGCTTGGCGACACCATGTCGCACGCTCCAAATGAAAGATGTATACATCGATAATAATAGAAACAAACGACATAATATTTTGTGATAATCTGATTCTAAACTTGTTTAAAGCGTTTACAATTTCAAGGTTGTAAGATGGGTTTCAAATAAAAAAACGAGTTTTTACGTAAGGTTTTCAGCATTTTTTCGAATATTTCGACAAGAGAAGCACATTTTTTGAAAATAAAACTTAAGATAAGATCTGAAGTACCTTTGATAAAAATTTCGACTTGATCAGACATTGTTTCCCACATTTTCTACAACATTTTCCACATTTTGATCGAATAAGAAGGAAGCGGGTAAACCTTAAGATTGTTAATGAAACTAGTAAAGATACGAGTACCCAAAATTCTGTGCTTGATTTAAGTAATTAAGGGCACATATGATTTCCTAGAGGACCCTGCAGTATTGTAGAATCAAGTCGAATTTTATGATAAACCACATCACTATATAGAGAAAACTGTCCTCTTCAAAATGAGACGTTGTACAGATCAGTACAACATTTTTTCCTAAAACTATGATCGTTTACTGAATCCCCCAAAAATGTCTTATATACATTAATGTTGTATGTCTTTTTTTAACTAAGAGTAGAAAATGAATCACAGAACAATTATTCTAATTGCATCGAATGTGGAGATTTTGACGATTGAATTTAGTTACCACTTCTTAGAATTTATGAAATTTCCAAATATTGTATCTTAAAAAGCTTCATAATGTAGGAAAATACAGTCCTAAAGCGCAATGTCCTCATACAAAATGAGAACAGTTCTTTTTTGATACTCTTTTCTGTCGTCAATTGTTTGACTATTTTTCTGACGCAAATATCTGTTTTTGTGGTTTATTAGTCGCGCCTAAACAATTTTGAAAAAGTAATGAATATTATTTGTCTAAAATTTCTTATATTTTTCAATTCTGAAAGAATATGAAAAGAATCAAGCCTAACGTGCGTTCAAGTATTCAATGCTGTTTTTATATTTTTTATTACGAAACAGAAAAAGCAGTAATATAAAATGCCAAATAATGTGTTTTAACACTAAAAACAAATTTTCGATTGACTAGATCAGGAGTACATGTTGCTTGAAGCGGACAGTAATCGAAGCAGTTGTTTATTAGTTTTATCTGTCGGCTAAAATAAATGATCAAAATGATAAAAGACTATTATCTAAAAACAGTATAAATTACCTGAATATATTGGCTTATGTTTGTTTTGTCCAATACTCGTTGTATCAGTTTTAATGCATCACTATTAACTGAAGAATGTCTCTGATATAATATAAAAACAACAATTGGAATATTGTTCTGATGAAACCTGGTAAATACTAGAAAAAAACAAAATAATTAACAGAAGTGTATAAAGATCAAAAATAGATGTAATACATACATGCGGCTGATATACCACGTATTGTATTTGGAGGTTCAATAGGTTTTATACGTAGATGTTCTGTTTGAGAAGACGTTTTAATATAACGGATGAACATATTTGATTCATTTTCTAATTTTCCATCGGTTGTAACATAATCCATAGTAGAAAGGGATTCAATGATGTAGACTGATTCAGTAGTGAATTTTTCCCTAATCTTAAAATGAATAGATGTGAAAATGTCTGTATTATTGACTTTTTCATACCTGATCACTAATTGGATATAGTCGATCTGATTTCATATTCGAGTTTATCTGTATAACAACTAACGGTGTTAATGAACCTGATGATCCATTTAATTTATAAATTCGATCTAATTGTTGTGTGGCATATTGTTGCGTTTTCACTTGATCAAATGGTTTTTCTTTTGCATCTGTTGCATGACCAATTAATTCTAATTCAAAATTGCAAAGTAAGTGGGTATATGCAAATGCTAAAACAACAAAACAGACACCTTTATTTTTTTTTCTATGCTGCATGTAAACTTCTGCTCCTCTTTGCATTAAACTTCAAAAATTGTACGTCCAACTCGTCATCAGTATACCCAGATGAAAGACGTTTTATAGGATTATCTTAAAAATGCTTATACTAAGGTTTTATAAGGTGATATTTGCAAGATCGAGAAATATCGCATTATTTCTTATATTCTTCTGATGTGAGATTTTACAAGGTCAATATATGAGAAGTGAAATGAAGAAGAATATCTCGCTTTGCGCCTAATTATTTGAGCTTCCCATACACTTTCCTAACCTCATCTCAGCTTTCTGATAAGGCAGAAGAATCTGTGCTATTTATTTTTCGGAGAAAAAAATTAACTTTTCTTCCTCCTGTTTGTTTCTAAACTGAAGACCTGAAGAGGCTTATTAACCTGATCACGGTTAGTGGATAACTTGCTGGCTCCAAGGTTCGGACATAATATATTTGAAGCACACGACGAACAACATAAGCATTAAGCTAAGCTGCTCTAACATAAGTAATGAAATCTTCCAAGAATCCACTTTCAGAAGTTATATGATCTCGTACACTCCTGTGGCCTAGATTACTGATCTATATTCATTATCTTGACACGAGATGTTACATGATTTTACAAGACTTATGACTGACTCATCATACACAAATATTATTTACGTTTATCAATGTTTTCTCGACAAACAATATCAGTATCCTCGTATTAAAACTTAGCTACGAGACATAGTGTATGCATATTATCACATCACAGGGAAAGAATTAAATATTCATTCATCATCTTTGCTGGTAATCCTTGCGACAGGCCTTAAAGATACAACTAATATTCAAGTATGTTCAGCTTGGAAGTAATTTTACTTTTTATGCAACTAATTACTCGTTCAATTTTTTAAAATATAAGTTATAATATGAAACTGTACGTATCTCGAGAAAATTAATTTATTGTCAAAGTACCGACTAACCTGAAGCAGTAGCTCCAATTGTTATCAGTAAGTTTTTACATGGAATTTTAACATTTTCCGATTTGATATCATCGCGCCAAATAATTGAAAAGGGTAGTCTTTGAAGAAAATGTAAAAAAAAAAGGAACATTTAAAGACAGATAGATTAAGAGTGTCAACTTACTTGTCTGGATCTCTACTCGAACGTCTTTCATCCTCTTGATCGCTATCAATTAGTTGTTGGTCACCGAACGTCTCCTCGTCAACTATATCACCCAAACCATACATAAATGACATATTTTCAAATATCTGAAAGCAGATTATTGGAAGTAACAGAAAGTTGAAATAAATGAATTATATTACAGTGAAACCTTTCTCTATGACCATCTTCTTATACTGACCACTTTGTCGGAGCGATTTTTTGCTAGGATTGAACCTCCTCTGTGTACACCATCACCGCATTCGGACCAATGGCCATCTTTTTTCAGTTCCACAGTCAATAAAATCTCTCTGAGTCACGTATATGAGAAAAAGAAAGGTAAATTGTATCAAAGTTTAACGTTTCGTATAATATTCTGTCTCATCAAATATGTCTACGTGTCATGATTTGATTCTCAGCAATAAAATTATGGATTGTTGGAATTGGAGAAAATGTTGAGAATTGGAAGGAACGGAAAATTTATGTGTGCATCTCTTCTATATGACCACTTCAGTATAGCGATCACTTTTGAAAAGCCTTGAGAGTGATCAGTTTAGAAAGATTTCACTGTATAAGAAAAATAAGTTTTTTGATAAGAATAAGACTAAAATAAAAGAATTGGTTATTATGTTTATTTTATTTGCTCACTGTTTAAACAGTCAACAACAAAAAGACAAAAAATAGCAAAAACAAATACTAACAGCATTATTTATAAACGTGTATAAAGATCTTTTCAAACAAAAAAGATGAGATAGATATTATTGCGTACGATAAAAATCTTTATTGTATAAAATAAAGTCTGAACGTACAAGAAAAAATACATAAATTAAAATCATTCTTCTAGCCATAAATGCATACTAATACTCATGGTAAAATTACTCAAGAGAAGTATAAAAGATGAGGTAGAAAAACACAAGACTTAGTATGATATGTTAAAGACTTCAAAGAGGAGTAGAAAAAAATTACCAAAACAAATCTGACGTAAATAAATAGGTCATTAAGAGAATCGATTCAGAGAATCAATTCAGAGACGGAGATGTTTTCTCAAGTGAACGAAATGAGAAGAATATTTATAATATCTTAGTACTTTTAAATCACTCGGTTTGTGTTTGTACGGACACACATTGAGAATTAGAATTTAAACATGGTTGTAACTCAGAGAAAACAATTGTTCGATGTTTTGTTGATTTTTTTGTTGACGGTAATGACGAAGGTAATCCATTCGTGTTATTCATTGTAACATTGTGCGATGACATATGCATTTTTTTATTTTTTTCATCAATACAAAAGTGTACAAAACACGATACGGGTATCCATAAACAGAGAGATAAACTTACAGCAAGTCCAACAATATTTTGTTCAAAAAATGATGCACGATAATCACTATTTAACGCATTTTCAACATACGGCTGTTTTCGATTTGTTTTTTTACCATGTACAATAGTCTGTTGATCGATAGTTTCTTCACATGTTTGATGATAAGCTTGTTTCTTCGATATCTGTGTAAATAATTCATCATCAACTTGAGTAAAACATAAATGTGAACGACGTTTTAACGATTGTTTTAGAGTTGATGATAATAAATCGGAACATTTTTCAATAATAGGTGCTACATCTTTATTGATAAAAAATCGACGTTTTGTTTCATTGACACTACACAATGTTAAATTTAGTCCCATTTGTCTTAAGTATAAATAACTTGTTTTTATAAATAAATCAAATAGAATTGTTGAATTTTTGCTACTTAATAAATGTTTACTAATAAATGTAATACCCGTATTTAAATTTATTTTCTTGGTAATATTATTTTCGGTTGATTCAAATGGAGTTGAACATGTGCCACCAACATCATATGTGTGTATTGAAGCGGGATAGCCAATAATTGTCGACATCGTCTGATTATGACTCGATGTCATAAGACTAACAAGGCAATATTTTTTCCAGTCAGATGCTGATAATGTGTGCAACATATCGAAATTTGTTGTTGTTGTTGAATCATTATTATTCGATGACTAAGTAAAAAAAGAAAAAATGTGTGTAATAAATCCAATTATTTAAATCAATATATGTCTTTGATGTTTCTTCTCTGATATTGGGATGTATTAGTATCGAGATCATGTCTACATCCAAGGAAAAATTCAAAACGTTTTTTGATAGACTGGTAATATATTTTTCTGGTTATATGTACAATGAAGCTGCATACTTTCATCTGCTAATTCCTTTATTTTTTGTTCAGAATCTAAGTCATTTATAGGTCAGAGTGTGCGAAAATCTGAAGAGAAAATTAATAGTAAAGATTTTATAAACTGCAAAGAGTTATAGTGAAGAGGATTTTATCCTTTATCTATAGATCTGATCAAGACAAAACATACTTTATTCGCCGTAATTATCGTCGTTGTATTGTAAATAACTAATTTTTGAATTAGAAATCCTGCATAGACATGTTTTGTCAACGTTCTCAAAATAAAATTATATTGTTGAATAATATAGGCAAGATATTCTTGTGTTAATGTTAAATCATATTGAAAAACGTTACGAAACAGATATGTGTCACATATCAAAGCTAATGAACAATAAAATGCTGAATTAGTGTTGATGGTTGATGTTGATGTTGACAATGAACAACGTGATGTTAGAAGTTCAAAGATAAAATGTAAATCTCTAATAGAATATGTTCGTTTTTGATATGTTATTTCTTCTTGTTTCAACGTTGACCATATTGAATCATTTATTTGTATTGAATAATGTTGAATTAAGTCTCTCAGAGAAAATGTTAGTGAATAATACGTTTCATTATCATCACCATAGGTTTGATAGTAATAATATGTTTGATTAACATAAATAAATATTGATAATAGTCGATCAGAAGTTAATATTAAAGAAACCAACGATAATGGATCTTGATTAACGTCACCAATTAATGAGAGAGATGATGATGATGCTAATGATGAATATTGACTAGTGGAATTATCGTTTATTAAATCAATTGAAAAATTCTTTGATAAATAATGATTATTTTGTCGAAGTGATAAATTGAATGAAACATCACATAGTGTAAGTGAGAGTTGTTGAGAATTATTATTTATTGAATTAATTTGATCACTAGAGATTGCCTGATTACATCTTATAAGTTTTTCTGGTAAAGTAAATGAACTAAATGATGATTTAGAAATTGAAAGAAAAATACTGACAAATAGAAATAAAATCATCGATTATTCATCGTCGTCAAACATAAAATAATCACATCTAAAATAAAGTTGAAATACAATGAAGAAGAAATGATCTTCTGAGTAAACAATGTCTAATTTCAATGAGATTTGAATTTAATAAACTGTTAATAATTTCGTGAACATTTTTTAATATGTCAAATAAAAAGTTTTAAATTAGTGAATATTATTATAAAAATATATTGAAAAAATAAAAAAAGAGATTCAAAAATAGATATTGAAAAATTGGACGGATTATAAACAATTGGAAAAAATGAATTATTCATTATTGTTCTCATCAATTTCACCAAATGATGTTCTTAATGCTTTACGTTCTTCAAGTGGGTCAACAATAAATTTTTTATTTGCCACATTTAAAATTCTTGATGTCAGATTTTCATCACCAACAGTAAGTGTATTTGATTCGATAGCGGCTTTTTCTAACATTGTCTCTAAATTATTCACAATATCATTTTCTTCTTTATTTTTCAGTTCTCGTCGAAACTAAACATATTAGCAAAAAAATAAAATAAAGATGTAATGAAATTTCATTAAAATACGTCAGTATTTATATATATATCCATACCTGTTCCACAACAATAGATTTCAATAAATCATTTTTTCGTTTAAAAACACTGTCAATTGTTTGTTCAATTGAAATCTTCTTCACTTTATTTTGACTAGTACTGTTAAAAAGATAAAGAATTAGAATCTTTTTCTCTTCTACATGATAATATTAAATTCACCTTGACTGAGGTATGGATGGTAAACTAAGACGATGTTGTTGCATGTTTCCTCTCATATTATGATGAATAACTGGAGGTTTATAATTTGTTGCTTGACTTTGTTTTTGTGTTATTATTTCTGGTGATGGGTCCGGTAATAGACCATCGGCAAGTCGTTTAGCTATAGATGTGTAAATCGTTTCAATATTTCTTGGTGTTGACGTTATTGTCAAATTTTGCGTATTTTCGTCAAACTAAATAGAACAATTTTAATCATAAATAATATTATATCATTTTTCTCTTACTTGTCCAACTTTGAGTGCTTCTAAAACGCGATCATCATTCTCTTTCCCTTCATGTTCATGAATTGAACACCATAATAAATTATTCAATGTTTTATGACGTGAATCATTTTTTAAATGACGATAAATTTGAGATAAACACAATAGACTCATATATCGTACACGCCAAGAATTTTCACTGTCATCTTCGGGAGGAAAAAAAAGTAAAAGTGCTATGTTGATAATTTAGATAAGATAATAGAGCCTACTCTGATTGCTATAATTTAACATTTGAAATAAACAAACGTTTTCATTCGTTCGGGAGGTACCAGACGCGGATTTCACTCCTAATCTATCACCACCATTCTCATTCTCACTATTGATCATATTCAATATATTATCGACAGACATTTCTAAATCAAACAAGTGAATAGTAAGTAGATATTTGCCTATACAATACCGTCTTACCATCTCCAAACAGCACACAACGTTTGATATTTGATATATCAGTATCTATACATATATTCATTAAACATTCACATAATAATAGAATTAATTCAATTTTCCATGAACGCCAACCAGTCGCCATTAAATAATCATCAGCACGTTTTTGTAACGGCAATTGAGAAAATGATTCAGCTATAAATAAATGAAAAATTATTAAAAAAACAAACAAAATAGAGCAATACATAGAGCTGATACGTGCGTTGAGCAAGTAATTGAATTGTTCTTAATATATCTATATTTGTTCTGGCAATATCGGCTAGTATATGAAATGCAATTACAACGTCGATCCTAAATAGAGAAAATGAACATTTTTTAATTATCTTTATTTTTCACATTATTTTAATAATTTTTACCAATTTTCATTAACTAATTTATGACGACATTGTACTAATGATAGTATTGATTCATTATAATAATGATCAGAATTTGTTGTACTAGTCATTTTTTTAACACATAACCATAAATCAACACTATGCCATATAATTGGTGATAGTTCTTGAACAATACTGGATATAACAGATTTACTACGAGTTGGTGAAGCTATTTCAATTCCACTCAAATCTTTAATTTCCATTTGAGTTTGTTGTAGCTGAGAACGTAATGTTAATCTTTTTCCAATTGTAGCCACTAATATTGAGCCGACAGACTCAATATAACGTATACACCATACAGCATTCGGATATGACGAATAGACTGATTCACATTCTTCGAGACCTATAGTAAGAAAAATATATCCAATTAAAAATTATACATAAACGATAAAAAAACAACAACAGTAAGAATACCTTCAAGATAAGAATATAAACGATATTTGAACTCTTCATAAGCACTTGTTGAACCTTCAAGATAATGAAAATATAATAATTGAAATACCAGTTGTCCAATCTAAATAAAAGAAAAGAAAAAAACAAAATTAAAATTGAAATTGAAATTACGGAAATTAAACTCGTTTACCTTGAGTAATTTTAATTCTGTTGCTGTTAAAAATTGTTCAAGAATGGCTTCATTTTTTAACCAATATAAAATTGTTTCGGATAGAAAAAATAATGTCGGAATTTGAGCTGATGATAATGGACTTAATAACAGTGATTTATACAATATTGTTAGACATTCTATGAATTATTCAGTTACATTTATTTTTAAAAAAAAGCTTAGGCAAATTTCAACAACCTTCTTGATAAGTTGATTTACACTGAGCCAATAAACAAAGTTCTGCCCAGGCCATTTGTAATTGTAAAGGACGCGATTGTGATGGTTGATATTGTGTCGATTTTCGCTAAATTCAAAAATATTTTACCTAATTTATAAGATAATAAAAATAACATTATATTTTACCTTTAATCGTTGGAGCATCCGATAAACAAGATCATTGAGTTTTATTCGTTCACTATAATTTGCTCGATTATAATAACGAACAAAATCTTCTGTTACTTCTAATAATGGCTGTTTTCTAAACAAGAGTTTTTTTACAATGAACAAAATTCAATAAGAAAATATACTTTTTACTCACTTGTTTTGACTACGATCTGACACATTATTATCACTACTATCACTTCGATCAGTTTGACGTTTAATAATGTCTTGTTCAATTTTTTCTTTACATGAACCAGAAATAATACCAAAACGATGAACGTATGGTACTTTATGAATCGGCATTGATACTCGTAGACCGTGACGACACAGTCAAACAAGTAATATAACACTCAATCTGTAAAAATTGTAATGAAGGAGTGAATGTATTAAGAATACTGACTGCATCAGTAACACTTTCTGATAAGAAATAGTTAATAATAGATGTTGCGTATTCTTAAAAATCATTATTATAGAACTAAACTACAACTTCTCCTATCTGATTTTCAACAACATCAAGGACAAACAAAAGATGATATTTTTTAGCTATTTCAGAAATTAATTTTCTGAAGGGTGTGCTCTATTATCATTTACAAAATAACAAGTATAATATTTTTTAAAACCAATTTCCTGCGTATACATTACGGTATAAAGATCAAAACTACGGTCGAGGGCTCTTTCGATCTATTATAATATGGATATATAGGTGGTTTTATTCTCATATCACCTAGAATAAAGGCTATTTCGATCATAGAGCTATGTGTTCTGGCTCAAGACTGTACGTACACATTCGAGCCACTCAAGGCTTCAATTTTAGCAGGAAAGCTGGTAGAGGCGTGTAATCCTCTAAACAGTGAAACTATTCTCCCTTCACAGGCGATAGTGGCTCAAAGGTCTCAACTGAGGGTGCAGGATACGTTGACTTTGTTAAAATTTTCCACCTAATGGTTTACTACTGTATGGTCAGTTGATGATAGACAGAGCGGAATGATTCAGCAAGTAGCTCGGGTGGTCAGTCTATTGATTGCATTAATGTATGCCAGGGTGGAACCCACTTTCAGGCAGGAATCGAGTATGTCCAATGAATAATTTTGAATATCATACGAGCTCGATCGTCCTGTCCAGACACTCTTCTTCAGAAGCTATCCAAAGAGATGTACTTTCCCCTTCGTAATCTCTAACGACTGGTTCTCTTCCAAAGCATTAAGTCCTCCTTTTACGGTGTCTTCCTATCTAAACTTCAAAAATCTATTTCATAAAACTCGAAAATTTTTATTGATTAAAGTTAAATAGAGCACGCCTCCTGACTAGCAGGAGCCGAAAATATGGTTCAAAAAATTTTTTTTTTATTTAGAATAAAAAAGCACAAATTAACAAGTAGAATAAACAACAACGGAAATTTTTTGAATTGAGAAATTTGAATAGTACTTCGTTCTCTTGAATAGAAACATTCATATGTGTTAAAATTTCAATCAATTTTATTCCGTATTACGACTAAACCAAATTATAAGAGAAAGTGTGAATAACGTAGACATTTTTTTATGAAGTGTTGATGCGACTTACAGTGTAGGTGCTAATGACCAATCGGGAGTCACTTCTTTAGCTTTAAAATCAATGCCAGCGTCTGTCACAACACATACTTGATACTAGATAAAATACAATGAATGAGAAAACATAGAATATACTTTATTTCTAAAGAAATTAAATACATACCCGTGCAAATGCTCGACAATCACGATAAAATAACTGTTTCACGATACGATCCATTAAATTTTCTGCTTCATCTCGATTTAATCTATTTGAATTTTCTAAAATGGTACGAATCCAACCCTAGAAAGATTATGAATGAAGCGATTAGAGTTTCAGTTTTTCTGTTCAGACTGTCTTTCACAATGATAATTACTTGTGCAAGATGATTACCAATACCGGTCATGATGATAAATTCTTTAAATGCTGATCCTTTATCATTCACTCGTCCAAGAAATCTAAATAGATGAACAAATTCATTTACATAAATAGATGAGACAAAAATAATAAGAGACTAACGGTTCTTTATTTTCCATTCCAGCTACAATAACATTTGTTAATAATGGATTCAATTTTGTTCGGCGATGATACATTAATCGTGTACACCATGAATACAACGATAATGGTGATAATTCATTATTAGCATCTTGTACAAGATCTTCTTCACTTAAACATTAAAAATAAACAAATATCGATCTGGCTAGAGCTAACCATACTACTTCTACATACACTTTTGCATCGATCGCTTCTTTAATATAATCGGCATCACTCAGATCACCTCCAATTGCAATCACTGTCTTATCATTTACTTGATGAATACGTGGAATATTTCGATATTTAGCAAGTGTTCCATATGATCCTAATGTGTCAGCGGCTAGTATCACACCGCCATTAAATGTAAACGCTGTCACAGATGATCCAGTGACAACAGGGTTTCTACAAAACAATAGTAAAAAAACAAAGATATAATTTTTACAAAAAGAAAAGTTCTCAAATAGACTTACACTGTACGAGTACGAATACCTCTCTCAGCCTCTGTCTCTAATGAAACACCAAAATTTTGTCTTTGCTCACTATCATGGATATTATTCGTAAACGAAGAAAATGAATTGTGACTTCCAAGCATATCTGATCCTTTTTTGTAAACTAGATTTTTGAACTAAAATCTAGAAAAAAAAACAAAATTAGCTAGACAATTCATCACATGTAGATATATTTAAGAGAAGTTATAGCATGACTTTCTTTAACTATTTAGATCACACTCCAACGATTATAAAATTTGTTTTTCACGTTATAATTTCTTACTGCGAAACATCACTCTTCGATCGGTTAACATTAGAATAAAGGTAGAACACGAGGCTTCGAGTTGATTTTAGTCTCTGAAATTTCGAGAGATTTATTCTGTAAAACAAGAGCTTTTAGGAGGATGCATCAACCGCATATACAAGAAATGACTAACTTTTGATAGCACAACCCTAATTGAGAAATAACATAAACCGGATGCGTTGACATACTATTTTTTTTTTGTAAAAACAGTATTCGCATTTCTACATTAATGTGTGTGCGTTAACGAAACAAAAATATATCTATTTCTTTAATTAATGCTGTAGTTAGACGTTTTTTGTTCTTAAACATAAAAATAAAATTTGTTTCACATATAATAAGACAAGAAACAGACAGTAACATTTTGGCAAATGAATATAAACAACAATAATAACAAGAACAGATTAAAGTAAAAAATAATCTATTATTTTTACAAAAAAAACAACAACAATACTTAAAGCTAGACGCAACAAATAAAAAGAAATGTAGTAACAAGTGTTAACTCTTGAATATCGAAAAGATTTTGTCAAACAAGTACTGGCTAGACGAAGTCAATATGAATTTGAGTGGCAAAAAAAACATTTTTCCGTTGATCGCTTAGTTTTGAGAAAGATATGATTCTATCTCTCTCTTTCTCTCTCTGTCTCACAAACACCAGAATTAAACAGTGAGCCAAATAAATCTAAAAAAATATCATAATTCCTTAAAGATAAACATAAATCTGGACATAAAAGGATACGATACAATCAATTATTTATCAAAAGTTAAATGAAAGTTTGAAAAGGTGAAAGACGAAAAAATTATAAAATATGAGTTCTGCTCTTTGTTATAAAGAAGAATCAGTGTATTACGTAAGAATAGGAATGTCACATGTACGCAAATTATGTTAAAACTTCAACAAGAAAATTCAATATAGACAAAAATAAATTCCAAAATATGTGTCTATTATCATTTGAATCATCATCTTTAACAGTTGTTTCTTGTTCTAATTCTCGATATTGATATTCATGATCATGAGGTTTCATACCTTGTCTTTCTTGTTCTTGTTGTCCATAATAGTCATTTGATGATGATTCAATATTAGAGTAAACTTTATTTTTATTTTTAAAATAGTTTTCATCGCTTTTAGTTGAAAAATAATCCGATGTATAAATATAAGTAAAATAATCTTCAATTGTAGCTTGTGATATTTGTTCAACTAAAAAGAAAATCATACAAATAAAATTAGTTAATATGATTAATTATGCTCAAAGATTTAATCTGCAGGCATTAGTGTATACAGTAGTAGGGGGAGTAGAAATATTACGAGCCGAGGGTCAGATTTTTTTACCTGTAGGAAAAAAAGTGTACAATTCGAAAGAAGAAAAAGACAAAATATGTTATTTTAATATGCCGATATATAGAGTAAACTTTTTCTCATAAAATGAGAGATTACAGAGCTTTGAGCTTTCTTTTATTCGCATTCTGTGTTATTTTGACAATGTCTTCCACCGAGCCTAGGCTGTCAGACTCGCTTAGAAATTTGTTATTGAATAAGCACAGAATTATGAATAAAAAATACAATGCTTGCCAACATCTAATTCTACATAGAAACATGTAATCTGCATTTCTAGCAACTTTAACAAAGTTCATCGAGTCAGACTTCAGAGACTTCTAAAAAACATATAAAATAGACTCGTAAAAATCCCTGAATAGGATTTTTCTTCATGATAGATAAATAGTATAGGAGAAAATTTTTTAAAACATCGTTTAGTATAACCTACCTAATAAACGATAATAGCTAACACGATATTGAGAATAACCATAAACTCCAATATAGACTGGTCGTTTTATCGATCGATCAATTACTATTTCATCAATACCGCATGTTGTACTACTTAAATTATAATTGTAATAAGTTACGTGTTTGAAACGATTTGATACGTATAAGTCAGCATCCCCTTTCGATGATATTAATATTAAACGATAAGTTCCTTCACCGTTTAAGACAAAATAAGAAAAATTAAAAGCATATACTTTATCGTCATGTATCGATAGATATGTACGATTTTTCCGATATACATCAGCTAATAACAACTGTTCATGCTCAAATGACGCTTTATTACGTTTAAGTAAATTTTCAATTACACCGCTGGCTTCATTCGATAATTCATCTTCTTCTAAACTAGTATCTTCATCTTCGAGTAACCAATTTGTTGATGATGATTTATCGTGATGTGTCGAACCTGTAGGTGTAAATAGCGACTGAATTGGTCGATCAGTAGAATGAACTGCAATTATTGAGCAATAACATATTCCGAAAAAAAGAACATAAGACTTTTGTTTCATTGTAAATAACGAAGTTGACTGGGCATTATCAACGATTAGATGAACATTAATAAACAGAAATTGATATTGTTATCCACCGTCATCCGTTTGCAATTTAACTTTAAAAGAAAAGAAGTTTGTTACTTTAAGAGAATCTTGTTGAAGCTATAAAATTTCTATATGCGACGTATTAGATCATATACAAATTCTAATCAAAACCGATCTATTTTAAAAATAACCTAAAATCAGCAGAACTGCTAGCGGCGCTTATAGATGAACATTATAGAATAACAGTCGAGTACTCTCTAAATTCTAGACAAGAACATTAGAGAAAGCGATTAAAATTTCTTAAAATCTGCTCTCACGTAATAAATTTCGTTATAAACCGAAAGAGTAGGCGGTTTTAATAAAGAAAGTTCTTTTGTAAAGCGAGCGTATGATATATTTTTCCTTCTTTTTGTTTACCATTTTTTGGAGAAGGGAAAAAGGCACCCTGTTTGAAAAAATAGAAAGATATATAAATAGATGCAAACCGCCTCTATCTCACAAAAGAAAAACGTTGGTCTATACGCCCTGAAAGAGCTTAGCGTTCCTTCGTTAATTTTCAAATAATGACATGGATTAATTCAGCCGACTGTAAATGTGACGACATAATCGCCCATGAACCAGCAGTCTATCAACCAGAGAAAAAGCGCCATCTGCAGTATACAATAGTAAATACCTCGACGAGAGTAACAAGAATCCGAGCACAGAGTTGACAAAGATTAACTTTTATGCAATCTACTGAATTTTTCCACGGCTACAAAAGTACACGAAAATAAGAGACATTTTTCATCAGTCTTTATACTACATACAATACTATGCATGCAATTAACAAAAACGACTTCTTTAGCTTAGACCGTATCGTCCTTGATGTCCGGAAAGTACCATTAATTTTGATATGTCAGACGCACATCCTATACAATGATCAAACGAATATGTAGTAGTTATATGTCTTTTAAAAACAATTTCTTAATTAAAAACAGTATTGCGGAGACACGAAAAATATACCTTCCAACGTAAATCGATATCCCCTTCAAAAAGCAGAGGGCGCCAAAGGACAAAGCATAAAGTTCAAATTATTTCTTGCTCGTTTGTCATAGTAACATTCCAGAAATGCCTTCGACTGTTTGTTCAAACTACATTTGAACAACAACTTCTGAATATAAGGAAATACTTTCGTGTGTGAGATATTTTTTCTTAGATTTGTCTAATCTTCTTTCTCTGTTTAACCGGACTTCATACGTTCTGAAATGAGTTCTATTTTATACGTGCTTTGAAGAATAATGATAAAAATATCTGCCTCTTCGAATATATAGAAAATATAAAAACAACAATAGATTTCTTGTTCAATACGAAGAGTTTGCACAATAAATATGAGAGAAAAAGACGCTACAAAGTATATGTGAGAAGAGACAGAATAAAAATAGACTAGATTTCTCGGTAAGAAGTATTATTCGGAATTAATCTATAGTTTTCAACCACTAACAGATGAAATACCAACATAACCCTTTTCAATTAATGTTTGTTGCGTTGTAGATGATATGCGATCAAACAATGTTCCAACTGTTGTCTCCAATTGTGTATACGCTTGTTGATTTAATAATAATTCATTTTGTATTTCAGCCATATAATTATTTTGTACAGATAAATACAATTCACTATAATGAGTATTGTGATCTAACAATAAGTTCTGAATAAAGAAAGTAAAAATAATGCTACGATATGTTGACTAAGAATGTGATGATCTACCTGCATGTGCGTTTTATTTTCCATATAAGATAAGACTCTATTGAACGCCTCCGTTTCTATTTCATCATGATTTAATGAATTGTCTTCATCTACAAGAAGACGAGTATAAATTATTTAAATCATATAAAATTCAGCAAAAATATTTACTTTGTTCCTTCAACAATTTGATTGCATCATTTAACAATTGATCAAAATTCTCAGTTTCATCTTCTTGTAGTTGTTGTTCATTTTCATTATCATACAACGATAGAGAATCTAAATCACTTTCTGTATCACCTCCACCGCTACCATATTGGCCATGGGAGTGATTTAATAGATTAATTCGATCATCACCCTGATTTAAACGTATTATTTCACATTCTAAATCTTGATTAATGGCATCCAATTGTAATACATTTTGATTTAAATATTTTAATTGTTCTAAACTATCTAATGGTAAATTAACATTTTGTTCACGTTCATCTAATGAGACTTTCATATTTTCTAATTTATAATAATCTCCATCAACAGCCTAAATACACAAAAAATATTAGATAGAACTATAAAAATGTGCTATAACTATTAACCTTTTGAGTTTCATTGAAGTTTTTTTCCATTTGATCAAGTTCATTCGTGTTCAATTGAAGAGGCTGTTTACGTCTACGAGTATTTCTAGAATAAATCAATTTTACATAATATAATAGTCTAAACTATGAACAAAAAACATCAGTTACTTTTGACTTGTGACTACTAATCTTCTTAAATCATTATTTTCATCTGATAACATATTTGAATGATGTTCTAGCAAATTCAATTCATCATTAAGATACAATTCAATTTCACTTTTTGTTGTTCGAATAAAACCATTCTAAAAAACAATAACAATGGCAAAATATTAAATATTATCAAAGAAAAAATGTAACTCACAGTTGCAAGAAGTTCATTTGTTTGTCGATGATTGTGTTTTTGTTTCTGACACATTTTATCATACTTCTTTTTATACTGATTACATAAAAATTCTTCATAATTCAATTGACACTCTTGTAAACGAATATGACGTTTGTTTGAATCTACAAAAATAAAAGCAAAATATCTATACCCTCTATACAATCATTCTGATGCTGGTAGCTGACATATTAACTCCAGGCTAAAGCTAGAAAAAATTGTTTGTATAGCTTTTTAGTGGGTTTTCAGCATTTCTCTTGTTGTCACGCTTCTTCCGAAACTAATTAATATTGAAAAACAAGAGTCTGAATTCTTTCTTTTAAGTAGTCAAGTATAATTATCCAAATGCTTATACTGACTGTGCTGATATTTAGTTTGCCCACATCATTTATGAAAGTAAATAGGGAATTCCTCTTAAACCAATGTGCCAAAAAATTCTTCAAAAGATGCTAAATGCAAAGATAATTGCCTCACTGTGATGCATTTGTTTGAATTCAGTAGAATTGACTGTTGATAACGATAATTGATCAACGATTTTATTAGTACATGATGAAATATCTTGAATATCTGAATCACCATCCTTGATAAATAATTCGGAAGGTACATCAATTAGCCACAAATCCCCACATTGGGTAGATTTGTTAAAGATACTTTCTCCCTTTTGTCCATAATTATCAATATTCACTGCATTATTTTCCATAACATTTGTAGGAGAAACTTGTTCTGAAAGCAGATTTGTTGTTAAATATTCATCTGTTTTTTTTATTAGTATTATTTGTTGATCTGCCGATAGTAATGACGGTGACGGTGGAGATGCAGATGGTTCTTTAAGTGGTTTGGTTATAAAGTATTCTTTTTCAGCAGTAGGACTATGATACATACGAGATGGTTTTATTGTTGTCGGTGATGGTATAGGTCGGTGACAGAGAGTAGGATGTTCATGTGTTCTTCGTTGTTTAGACGATAAAGAATATGTACGAGAAAATTTTCCGTTATCATTTTCTGGTGCTGGCGGTAGTATAGGTGAATTGACACAATGACATGTTGCCGTGGCTGACGAAGACGAAGAGGACCGTATTCTTGTGTTAGGTGTTGTTAATGAATCACTCGAATTTTCGTCTTCAATATTTTGAAGACTGTGTTCTGATGCTGATAAATAAAATAGAATATTATCTGCTGTTGTTGCATGATGTTGTTGTTGTTGTTGTTGTTGTTGTTGTTGTTCGGATACAAATGTATGTGAAGGTAAAACCTTTACTTCATTAATGCCAAAAAACAATGCTAGTGCTGGTGGCCATTCTATAAGTTGGAATAAAAACTTGAATCAGCAAATGTTGTGATATAATAAAACTTCTTTCCCGTAGATCTGAACTTTTTACCTTTATCGTATAATTTGTTCAAGGCATCAATAACTGTTTTTATATATGCTTGGTGTTCACTTTGACGAGTAGTAAGTGTTCCTTGTTTTAATGATTCAGGTGTAATTAAAATACCAGCATCAGCATTCATGTTCACTTTTCTCATTATAGGTACTGATCCACTTGAATGTAATGAATCGGCTTGCGTTAATATTGTTTGTTGTGTTGGTGGAATGTGTATATGTAACGATGATGACGGAATATTCTCATTCGTTCCAAGGTTATTGTTAGGGGAAGTCGAGAGATGTTTTGGATTTGTTGATACAGACGATGATCGAAATATGCGATTGAATATATTTATAAGTTTAGTCTAAAACGATATGAATAGTGGTTATACTAGCAAAAGATATAGCTTTTAAAGAATAAAGAAAAAATATAAATATAACTGGCTGAAAATTTAAAGAGAATACCGGAATATTTTCACCACTTGCTGTACTTCGTCTTTTATTCGAAATATTGTTGTCTACGATAAAGTAAAAATTGTTTGCACAAATGAAAAAAGATAATAGTAGAAATAGAGATTTACCTCCAGTGGCAAGTATCATTTCATCTTTATATGTTGTTTGTTCATTAGCTATCTGAGAACTGATTGAATCACCAGTATGAGGTTCTAAAATAAAATACAATCATTCCATTATTCATAAAAATAGTTTATTTCTTACCCTTCAAATGTTGAAAGGGTAATACACGTTTCATTAATTCATGCATCCAATTTCGATGCGATGGCGGTTCAGAGCCAAAAGTTGGATTAAGGCAAATCTTTAACATAAGAAGTAATTTAAGAAATGAATATATTCAATAGAAGTCAAAGATTACGTTTCGTGACTCATAAATAAGATCATGACATTCATATGATCGCCATTTATCCTTTTCAACTTCTTTATTTTTATCGCCATCGATAAGTCTTGGATTTAGACGTACATGTTGAAACATCGGCTAAAAAGCATAACTAAGTTTGTACAAATCGTTCGAGGTAAGAAAATCTCGACTTGGTTAACAACTTACTAAAACTACATGTTCCATTGTTTTCCTATTTTCATGTCTATTATATTCCCTACACATCATATATAATAAATTACAGGGATAAACAGTGTATAACGTATAAAACAGACAGTATGCTGAGCGAAAGACATTTGAAATAACTGAATTATCCACTGACTCTAAAAATTTATAAAGGTTTAATATTTCTACATATAATTTTTTAAACCAGAACTATACCTATTGATTGATTCGATGTTGATTTTAACAATGCTTCATGTTTGCACAAATAATCACATACTGCTTTAAATACGTTTAATATCTGTTCACGATATCGTGCTAACTCTGAAGGTATTGTAGTTGTTAATGCCGAAAAAAAATAACATCCTTGTACAAGAATACTTGGATCTTCCCTTTTCTAAATATTAAATACGTAATTATAAGAAAAGAAGATGTGCTCTAATTAGTTCTTACATTTAAAATTGCTTGTAAACAATCTTTCATTACAGTATCTTTGACAATTCGATGTAGCCATTGTTCATTAGAATGTATAATTAAACATAATAAACGAAATACTTTCATTGTATGAGCTGATTTTTCGCTATCATCATAACCCGAAGTTGAATCTATTACTGCTGAACTTTTGATACACTGTTTTAAACCGTGAGCATGTAGACGTTCTAGAAACATCTTAAAACAAACAAAATATAATGTCATAAGTAGATGTGTGTATATATATACCATTCGGCTTACTTTTGATTGTGCTTCGTTTGTTTCATTTATTTTTTTTAATATTATAATAATATTTTCTGATTCTGTTTGAAAATAATAGTCTAGTACATAATTCATTGTATCTGCACTATGTTCACATTCGTTAACAAGTGCTTTTATTAATATTGGACGATGTTCAAACGGAAATAGAGGATCATCGAGTTTTTTCAAATTTTCAATGGGTGATGATGATACGATACAGGCAGCACTTGACGATGTCGACGGTAAACGAGAATGAGATGGATGATGGGTAATTATTCGAGGTGGTGAACCTTTTCGATACTGTCCCGACGATAAATAAACAGAAGATGAAGAAGAGATCGGTGATGTGTTTAGAGATGACATGATCTACAATATAATGGTAAAACATTATACAATACAATAGAGATAAAATTTCTTTTCATTAAATGAACTATTTATTTTTCCCCCTAAAAAGGATATAGAAAAGAAAAAACTTCTTTCAAAATATTTCAAATTTCGTCGAATTTTTAATTTTTAGAAAGGAAATTTAGATTGCTCTATTCTTACTGAATGTTCAAACATTTTTTAACTTTTTTATTCTTACACATTAGTACCGACCATAAATAACAATAAATATTTTTTTTGACTTGAATAAGAAACATTAAATTTAGACAAACTGTCTGACACTAAATATAAAATAATATTAGATACAACTGTTATATTTAGAACTTTTTAATAGTGAATCATACCATCATCTTATGTCATTTTTACAATTGCCTCATTCATGCCACCACTATCTACAATTAGTTGTTAACTGAACATTGGATGAGAGTGGACAATACTATACTCAGCTAATAATTTACAATAAATATTTATTTTCCAATGACATCAGATTCTTATCCTGTTATTATTTACCTGTCTAGTCTCTTAACCGGCAACATTTTACAATACGTTAATGGAAATAATCGAAAAACGAAACAACATCTCATTATCGTTGATATACCCATAAATAAAAATGTATAGACTTTCACATGTAGAAATAACTCATGATTTTTCCACGTTTAATTACGTCTAAAGTTTTGTGTATACCGTTGACTAGATTTTGATAGTTTTTTCATTAAATTGTATAAATTGATAGAGTAAAATGAAATGACGATGGAGCTATCGATACTTTTCACATATAGTCAAGCACGACAATCGTAACGTAAAATGGAGGGGTTATTGAACCAGTTTTATTCAAATAAAAAGCATCGCCAATCGAGTGTTTAGCCATTATAGACTTTGCAAAAGGTAAAAAGGAATGAACGTAAGAGAATAAAAAACTGATGTGCTATGTAAAGGAAGAAAAGACGAATGGCTGTGTGTGGGGAAGAAAGAATTTATTTAAAGAGAATATCAGACACGGTCAAATCGCTTTGCCTCTGAAATATATTTTATTTATATGGAGAGGTTCTTGTATAAATACTTCAACGTGGTGAGCGAAATTTAGTAATTAATATTTGGATGGATTAAAGTTATTGGGATGATCATTTGGACATTATCGCCATTAATCACGTAGAAGATTTTATAACCGATTCTCTGAACCTGCTACCATTTCCCTTACGGACTCTTATTGGTGGCATTTTTCACTGTGTGGTATTCACAAATCATCCTAATAAATAATTACATATAAGGAAGACAAGATGAATTTGTGCTTAGAAGTAAAAATCAATTGAGTTTAACAAATGGAATTTTTTGGTTTGAATCAATTTCTAGTAAGTCAAATCAACTTTCAATGTTACATTCGTCAAACTAAGTCTAATTAACTAACTACTGAATTAATTTTTTATCCTCACTATACTTTCATCTTCTCTAGCGATACTGAGAAAAGAATATTATTGTTGCCATCATTCTGCTCTCCTTTCATCACGCATAACTTGTGTATGTAAAGTAATTTTCTTTATCTCTACCTAGTATATAAACATCAACAAGCGAGCATGCTTTCTATTAGCTAGAAAAACAAAGATATACATTGGATAGATAGTTAATGCTTAAGCTACGTAAATAGAAAAAGAATCTTATTCTAGATGATACGTAAATATATCAAAAAGAAAGAAAAATGCGTAAGCTCCAATTCTAAACATAACAACAACAAAAAAAGCTCTTTTATTGAAATTTGCTGCAAAACAATTTGTGCAAAGTTCATGTTATCTATACCATTCTTAAACTCTCCATTTTAGATATCAACGATATGTGTAAATATCTGATAGAATGGTATAATTTAGTTATGAAATGATGCTCACAGGACGCAGATAACGATGTATTAACACATTCGACGCGATGGATCCCACAAGTGGGACCCATTATGTTGAACTCACCAAACAACACAAATAGAAAAATATCTACAAATAGAAAAAAAATCTGATCTCTATATTTTTTTGCTAAAAACGAATCACATTCTGAACAAAAAATGTTGTCTATGTTCATGTAATTCTCATAGAACATTTCGAGGGTGTTTTGTTACATTAAATTGCGTAAGAAACAACTTTTTGATCGCATTGTTACATTTAGTTCTAAATTATTACATTTAAATTTAAGAGAAAATTATTGTTTTAAAATATAATTAAAAACGAAAAATATGTACAGAAAATCCTCATTTTATTCGATATCTCTACATACAGTGGATGTGAACAAACGAAGAAAATATTGTTTTCCATATAAAAATGAAACAAAAAAATAGATATCAACACTGAGTTTGCTACCTTGTAGCTGAATATCAAAACTAATTTCCATAAAAATACGAGCTGTCAAATCCGTTTATTTCATTATTCTTAGAAGTCTTTTCTAAACTTCTAAATTACTATGAATAACTATATAATCACTTTTATCTAATATTTTAGTCGCTTTAATCAAAACTCATTTAAAAAGACATTATTCGAAGGAGTATGGTAAGTTTCATGTAACAGATGTTCTTTCAATATTTATGTCATTCAAAAAAAAGTTTTTAAAAAGGTCACGTCACACAGTGGAGTATTTTAAACTCCATATGTTATTTATTTTTGTTTTGTTCTATATCTTTTGATTTTATATGATAAACTTTCTCATACAACATTGTTAAAGTTTAAGTGTACTTTTTTATATTACAATCGTAAATACCAGCTGTTTCTGTATCGATTAGACGATGACTATTCACTGAATTGATAGGAGAAATCTGCGACAACAGAAAAAATGTAGAATATTGAGTATAATGAAATACAACTATCCATATCTCTACATGATACCAAGTATATAAAATACTTTTTGACAATAACTTTCTTCGAGTGTTACTGGAAGGAAAGGAACTGGATTTGTTCCTTTTGTAAAATTCATTGTTCTTGTTACTAGGAAACCAGCGACGTATCCACCACTTGGCCAAGGGTGAGCCATGGCTCACTTCTTAGAAATTTCGTTTTCTTCATTTCGCAGTAGAAAAAAATATTTTGATTAAAATCGAAAATAAAAATATTACACAAGAACTCTTTTTACTGTTTTCTTTGGCCAAAAAAAGGGTTTGACCTACCCCTTACTGGAATCCTGGGTACGTCGCTGTAGGAAACAATAAATTATTCCTTTTTCATACATTATATTCGAAGTTTTTCAGGATCCTGGGACACAAAATCGTCCAGGACCTTGAATCAAATTTCGCTCAAAGGAAGTATTTTGGACCAAAACTCTGAATACAAAAGTTGTTCAAAATCGAATTTCGGAATCCCTCACGAGAGCTTTTATCGGAAAACTTTTTTCTAGGATTCAAAATTAAAAATGAAAAAATTGAAAAAAGTAACGACGTCAAAACTCCATCTGATAATTATTTTAAGGTTTCTTCCTTATACAATTTAATGTTCTCTATCGAACTACACTAGAATCAACTCTTCACATCTATAACTGAAGTTTCTAATGAAATTTTAAAAACGGAGCAAAACACTTTGGAAAAAAGAATTTTTTTATTTAAAACTCTAAGTCCACAAAGCGAAAAATTCTTTGGAACATATACTTCGAAGTGTTTTCTATAAACTGGTCAAAAAAGTGGGTGAAAGGTAAACAAACCCTCCCTTAAGTTTGTCTTAGTTTTTCATGAACCGAGAAGACCGCTGCTAAAATGCGACACACTGATGTATTGTGAATGGCCTTAAGAACGTGCTTCTGAATGATAGATATAAAAATCTTTTCGATTGATAGCACAGATTAAGAAAATGACACCAAACAGTGGCGGATCTAGAAAAATTTTTGCGATGAGCACGGTACAAAGGAAATAAAAAAAATTTCGATGGATGTGGACCGCTGGAAACACAATCAAAATGTTTTCTCGCTAATAAAATCTCAAAATTTTCTACTAGGAGTAGCCACACCCATCGTAAATCCGTCACTGATTTAAGACATCATGGATTTGATCTGTGTATTTTACCTGTTTGTACCATTTCATCTATATCTGCTTCGTCTTAAACCTGAACATGCAGTAGTTGTCATGCGCACTCCGAATTATGAAAAAACAAAAAAAGCACCATTTACTAGATGTCTGTTGGTTAATCATGTTAGAAATCTAAAACCAAAAGAGATACTGGCTTTATTTTTGGATCATATGAAAAATGTGATCGAACAGACATTGGTCACACAATCTATCCAATAGCTTAGCTATTTGTGAATTTTGACAGCTTACATTGATGCATTTTGCTTATCGCTCTTTCTCTATCAAGCTCAACCTGTTGACAATCCCTGAAGATGTGCTGAATATCACGATTAGCCCCTTATACAGCTCCTCAGTATTGAACGGCGAAAGTGGTGCTATAATACTTTATACTCGTGAACTCTACTGAGCAGCATATGGCAATTATATTTAATCCGGGAGAGGGGGGAATAAGTAAATTTTTCGAAGCGGAGAGTTAAGACGCTTTTGATTATATTGTTCACGCGATATTTAACATAATCAACAACTTCAGCAAAAAAACATTGCAAATCTCTCTCAAATCCGTAAATAATTGTATGAACAAAGAATTGTTTAATGAATATTAGTTGTAGTTCCTGTTTATGAAATGTCAGTGATTTATATTACTGCGTTTTCCGTTTTGCGAGATGAACTGAAAGTTGTTCAATTGGATTTTCTCTTCGTCTTGATCCCACATCTTTTAGTACTTTTAGTAGGACCTGCTTTTTAGCCATAAATAATAACCATTAACTGGACGACTAAACAAATGATTTATAGAAAATTTGCCATTAAGAATAATATACAAAGGAGCAATGTGATACATAGGAAAGTCAAAATAAATAGGTTTATAACAGACTTTAAGTTAATTAACGTTAAAAACAAAAAGATAAATATCTTCTGAAAGTCGAAATTTGTTTGAAATTTCTGAGATATCACTTTCTCTAGTTTCTTTTCTGAGTACGAAAAACCAACTAGTAAAAATTTAGAAAAAGAACTTGAAGTTTTATGTCCACTGTTTAAAGCATAAAATCCATTAATAAATATAGTGTCCATTGACGTGAATACAACAAGAGAGGCTCCTTTTACTGAAAATAAAAGTCAAACTTAGTCTGCGGAGAAAAAAAAAGATCTCAAAAAATAATTTTTAAAACAAAAAGAATACATGCTCAATGAAAAAATATAAATATTATATAAAAAATAAATAAATAAACGTTTATATCACTGTGTGCATCATCAATGAACATCGTTTACAGTGCACAGGCAAGAAAATTGGAAAAAGATTTTAATGATTTATCACACATGTTGAGCAAACTAAAGCAACTTCGGTGATAAGAAATTTTTTACCTCATTCAAAATGATTAAAGAGAGACTAAATAACAAATGACAGGTAAAAGTAAAACAAACCAGCAATATAAATAGGCATTTATATAATTGTTCGACTAGCAAGCATTATAGCACACATGAAAGAAAAACTAACATTGTCAAGACTTTTTTTGGCATTGATCAGATAAATCTCGTGCGACTAAAACGTCACATTCGAAAAAAAATTAAAGCAGAGTTTTGCATAATAAGAAACAACTGGCGTTTCTATTCGATGATTTTTCTATTTTGATGACTTTTTGACACTCGATGAACGCTAGAATACAAAAACATATATAATAAAATCACGCATATCTTAAAGATGCTTTAGTCATGACAGTAAAAGATCAACATTTGATATTAATTGTAGAACATACCATTGAGTGAAATTTGAAAGAATTATTAAAGTTAGGTAACTGAATAGCATTTGATGGGTCAAAACGTGCTGATATCAATACAGGAGTATGATCTGGTTGAATTGGATGCAATGTTGATAACGTTTGTGTTGGATGCAATGGTGTTAGTGTTTGTGCTGGATGCAATGCTGTTAATGTTTGTGTTGGATCACAGTTACCATGATTTGAAGAAGGCAGTTGTGAAATGGCACGATAGTTTTCTATGGTTTCTTGTTGACGAATTAAAGCTGGTGGATTTGCAGCCGTCGAACGTGTTGTAATTGTTGATAGTGGCGGTTGATTATTGTTATTTTCTAAAGTTTGTTTACCAAATACCATCATCATTTTCTGACGTTGCTGTTGCTGTTGTAGATCAAATAAACGTCTTTGACTCTGAAATAATCAAATACAACTACTTTGTGGTCTATATTAATAATTCTGCATACCAAAATTTGATTTGCAGGTGATTGAATTTGTCGAATATCTAATGTTGGCCGATAATTTTGGCTATTATTAATTATGGTTGATTTTGGTCGTGATGTACGTCTATTGCATAATATTCGATCATTTACTAGGAACAGAAAAAGTTGTATTAAGACAATATTAGTAGAATTGCTAATTAAAGACTTACAGTGTAATGCTAATTGTTTTGTTACATAATTGTTTAATGATGCTTTTTCGCCTTTTTCGTCTTCATTTGAAATTTCAACTTCACATTCCTCATCTGTCATTTGATCGTCGTTGTCGTCGTCCTGCTATTCTCACAAAAGAAAGAATAGTCAAAATACACTAATTTTAAGTAAAGTACTGTCATTTACTTCTTCTATTGTTGGCGTCTGATTTAATAGCGGCATAGTAACGTTTGATGATATGACCGTAGAATCTTGCTCCAGACCTAGAACAAAAACAATTCATTATTAGGCAAATTTTATACAAAAGATACCATCCTATATTAGTCAAACGGTAAACTACTTAAGAGAAAAATCAACACAAAAGTGCTTTTAGTGTGAAAGTGATATAATTAACGACCAACCAACTTCTTTATGTTTATTAACTTTCACACCTGTTTGTACTGCAAGGGAGGGAAGAATACAACAATACTAAGACATTAAGGATCTTCTCCACCTTATTTCATCTCTTGTTACAAAATTGTAGCGACTGATCGAGGAAAGTTAGAATTTTGACCAAAAACAGGCGTATTTTTTTTATCTTAGACCTTAGAACGCACTTTCAGGTATGATTTCTAGAAAAACAGGTTTTTATTGCTTACCGACCTATCGAATCTCTGTCCGTTCGAGCTCAAAATTTTACCACAGGTACTAGACTCCAATACGTCCAGATATTTTTCGATTTAACTCTACAGCACCTTTTCTTCATAGGACAAGCGGCTGATTTTTGGAAGTCTCAAAATCGAAATCCGATTCTTCACGAAATTTTCTTATAAATCCTCAACGTCTTGGAGAGTTAAATTGAAAAATATCTGGACGTATTGAAGCCTACATAGTACCTGTGGTAAAAGTTTGAGCTCGAACGGACAACGTTTCGATCGGTTGGTACACAATAAAAAATCTGGTTTTCCAGAAATCATACCTGAAAGTGCGTTGTAAGACCTGAGACAAAAAAATACGCCTGTTTTTGGTCAAAATTCTAACTCTCCTCGATCAGTCACTACGATTTTGTAACAAGAGATGAAATAAGGGGGAGAGAATTCTTAAATTATTTTGTAATTTAGCAAAAAAATATTCGTTTATGCCGATAGTTAAAACTTGATACGATAAACAAGTTATTCACTTTACATTGTTGGATATAAAGAAAACGAAACAAAATATCAGTGGTTAGAGAATGTTTAAACCGCTCAGGTTTTTAATCTCTAACTCAAATCTAATATTAATGAAGGTTCTAAAAACAATACACATGATAAAAGTTAGTATTTTCATTGTTTAGGTTTTAAAAAAAAAGAACACAGCAAATTGAGTGTTAATTGTAACAAAAAACACAATATATTTTTCTCTAATTATACATCTTGATCCTGTAATTGTGCTTGTGAAACGTGCAGCAGGAAATAATGCTGAAAAAAGATACGGATGACATTTAAAACAACATTGCTATTATTATCTTTTACAAAATAATCAAACAGACACAAAATGGAAACATAACACATCTCTAACGCATACCATAGATTAAACAACTTACTGTTTAATCGTTTAAGTAGATAAGTTGCTGTAAATGCATCACGATGGTCATTGCGTAATTGCTGTTCATTAACAATAGCAGTACTACCAGAAGGTGTTGAAGAATAGCGAAGCGCATATGATTCTGAAAATAATAGGAGATAGCAAAAGTTTATAGAAGCAAAAATAATTGAAATTCTATCTATTTTGATATAAATGATTATTATTATATCTATTAATTAATAAAGTAGAAGAAGATATGTTACCTTGTTCAATGCTGGACATAATCTGCGTATCAGGTGCTGATGATAATACATCAGACTGTCCAAGAATATTTTGTGTTAAAAGATTTAAGTAGTCAGACTAGAATTAATAGTTTAGTATTAGTTATCAAACGAAACACAAAGAAGAAAACTTTCAAGCAAAACACAAATAGCAGTATAAATAATTTGCACAAGCAACCTATTACAAGATCTTCATAAAATTTCTAATTTTGATTATGAATACCTCTTATTCAACATTAACACCTGAATGAGATTTATAGAGGTATATAATTAACATATTTCAATTGATAAAAATATATTTAACGAGAAAGCGAGTTATAGTAATATTACTGATTAATAAAGATATTGTTATACCTTGCAAAAGTAGCTTAACACACAGAAAGATATTTTACGTAATATTCTAGTCATATAACAAAAAATAAATAAATATATGTATATTGTTTCATGCGCACTTCCGCCAAGCATATATATTCACACTTTCTAGTACTTCTACCTGATGAAAATATATTGTCAATTATTCGCTGTAAATATAAACATATTTTACTTCAAAACTCATATATATATATATATAATCAATATCTGTTGTTGTTTTTTCCACTTTTCTATAAAATCGATTTAAAGATGTCATTTTTCTTTACCTGTGTGCGTTTTGTTCGATCTTCTACTCGATCCACCACTCCATTACCACTACTAATACGATTATTTGCTGATAATGTTGGCACACGATTTATTCGAGTAGAACTATCGACTACTTTATTTGTACTTAAATTATCATTTAATCGACGTTGTTTTACTGTTCGTTGTTGATAATTATTACCAACATCAGAATCGGTTGTTACCTAAAAACAAAAGATAAATATAGAATAATTAAAATATATTTATTAGGTACAAAGTAGTAGATCAATATGCAAAAACAAACAAGAGCAATGTTAAATGATTTAAACACATTGATTAAATAAAATATAAATATTAACAGCGATCAAAGAAAAAATGCGTTTTTAAATAGAAATAACATGTTTTCTGATCGATATTTTGATTTCAAAATGTGAGTCAGCTCACTTCTAGTTGATGTGGAATATAATTTTAAATTACAATATTGCATAACCTATTTAAAGAACATTATAATCCATACAGGTAACATTTACCGCATCGAATTTTACTAGACATTACTAAATGTCAAAAAAGCATCATAAAGAATGAAATATTATTCGTTAAACTGTTCAGAAATCTAGAAATATTGCAGAATCATAGGATAGACTCTATTATACTTGTCTATAAAGAACATTATGGAATTTTAACGACGGCATCGATTTAAAAAAAAAATACTTTCTGCACTTATTCACTTTTTTTGTTCTTTACTAAACCATCGTTGTTTCCCAATAATAAATGTCAACATGTTTCTTACAGTAACATAGAAAAGATAAGCACTTTTATTTATAAACAAACGTGGTGTAAACGAGAAGAAGCAGAAGAAGAATTAATGGTGTCTATCGAGCAAATGTATAGAATAAATAGCTTTGACATGCAGGATGCAGGGTTCATCATTCTTATTTTTTTGTATTATATTATACCATCTGTTTTTCATCTCTTGCATTTGAACATGCATAACATTTACATATTCTATTTGGATCTAATACAGGTTGTCTTCTACTTTTACGCTTAATAAAAAGTTTTTTTTCTCGTTGTTGCTTCATCTTCTCTATTAAACACGCAAGAAACTTACCCGAGAAAATGAAGCATCATCATCTGGTGTCTCTATCATACCCTTAAAACAGACAAAATAAAAATAAAAAATTATTGAAAATAATATACAATATTTCAACTAAAAAAAAACATAATAATAATTATGTGAACTGTCTTTGTGTACATGACAGAAAAATAAAAACAAACGATAATTGGATGATGTTAGTTAAATATGAAAATGATCATTAAATAATATCTGGTGATAAACGTTTATTTTTTATTTTTTTTTGTTGTCAACAAATTATGCTGTGGATACATAAATATGCATTAGTAAAAAATACATGTGTAAACTTTAAAATTGAATAAGTGGTGGTCATTGGAATGGGAGAGGGGAGGAGATGATCACTTACGATAGACGATAATTGGGAATATTTAGTTTTTGTTAATACTAGACCAACTGTTCGTGAAGTTTTAGACTGGAATGTAAGAAAAATATAATCATGTTTTTTTCTTATGTTTAATACTCTATTCTGTCTTAAGGGTCCCCCACCTAGCGAAAAAAAATTTTTTTATCTTGCATCCCATTTCGATGACGCTTTCAGTGACTAATGCTTACTGTCCTACGAGCTCATGCTAAGAATGCGAAACGTTGAAGCACTGCCGAGTTATTGCGTGACAAGGGGCAAAATGAGACTCTTAGAAATAACGTAAAGGCTTTTTTGTTAAAAGATGCAGAAAGCTGCCAGAGGCCTCAAACAAAAGTGGGCATCTAAATTTAAAATTTGATCCGCGGCGATTTTTTAATTTCGCTTCCGTTCATTTCCTACATGTATTTTAATTCAGACCTCTGAAAATAACACTAATTCAGCGGAAGGAGTATTTGCCACTTATCTCTGCACACGAAACAAAAAATCAAAAATCGCCGTAGATTAAACTTCAGATAAATGTCTTAGCTTCAAAATAAAAATAGAATAAAGGTTTTACGACGAATCGTCTAGGAGCTGATACAACTTTGCTGGGCCCAAACCATATTCTAAGCAATGACGTCGTCACTTTATTAATTATAGTTCAGCGCCTTTAGCAAAACGAGTATAACTCTGCAAGACGAAGTCGTACAAACCTGCTGGACATCTCATTCTGATCAGAACACTCTGCTTAACATAACTCCATGTTTGTTAAAACGGATACCCTAAAAATTTTAATTAAAATGTGAAATTTAGAAAAAGGTGATTTTTAGGGCTTTCAGAAATCTTTTTCAAAAACATTGAATTTTTGGCAAAATGAGATGGATTCTGAAAGATGACACCTTGAGATACTGAACCATATGGTTACTTCAGTTTCGAAAAAAACATCAAATTCGGCGGAGAGGGGGACCGTTAAATACCTCATCATTGTACATGAATTGACCATTTTTTCGAAGTTTACCTTCAGCAGTGGGATAGATGATACAAAGTTTTTTGCGTATTAAATATATTTTTCTATTTTCTCTATTGAATTTTTCAAAATAGTTTATTATTCTTACTTTATCAACATTTTCCTTATCTGTTTCATCTTTTTGTTTGATATCTTTCTTTTTTGCTGTCAACGTTTTGGTTCTGGTCTTTTTCATACGTAGCTAAAAATAAATTATTAAGATATAATCAAAAAAAATGGATAATTTTTATTGTATTTTTGTTTACCTTAGCAACTGCCATAGCTTCAAGATGTTTTGGCAGACCATCATCAATTGAACTATCAGAACCGCCATCATCACTAAAAAAACCAATATACAAAAAATGACTGCTAATTGAAGAAATGATGTTATCTAAAGTATATTGAATACCTTGAATCGTCATCAGATAAAAATTGATCAAGATCAATATCAGCTAAAGATGATGGTTGCATTCCACGTGAAAGTAATTTCATTTGTATTGAATGACGAAGATCATCTTCTAATTCGTTTAATAATCGTTTACACTAAAAAAAAAGAAAATATACCTTTTATTAACTATAATTTTTATATAAAAACATAGGAAGACGTAATTGATTAGAAAATTATACAACATCTAATTGATACGTACATAAACGAAACAAATACACAAAAAAAGATAGATCCTCAATTTTTTGAACATAAATTTAAGCATCGAGGAAAAGAAGCAAATAAATATGTCAATTCTATTTTCTATATAAGCGAAAACAATACGGTACTAAAGGAAAAAGAGTGACAAAAGACAACATATTTATTAACTGATGGCTGTTGACTTTTTTGATAAGTTGTTTTTGATTCTTTGGTTTTTGATGGATTACGTTTGGTTTTCGAATGTCTAGTGATAGCCGATGATTTTCTTCTTGTTTTCGAGTTTGGTGCACTTTGAACGGCGCGTAAAGGTCTATTTCGATTGGCATTTTCCGATGAAAGTGTTGTACATGCTTTATTATACGATGTTGAATCAGGTATAATCGTACTTTGTTTTTTTAACGACAATTTTGATTTTTTCCGAACAAGATCAGGAGCAATAGTATAATCACTTTCTTCAAGAGCATCTTCTGTTGTCATCCAATAACCATTTAACAAAGCTTCATATAAATTTTGACGACACTGAATCTAGACACATTCCAATTCATGAAAAATTTGAGTTTCAGATGATGATCAAAGAAAAATTACGTTTTATAACGAAATATATTTTACTGTCTATCAATTATTAAACTTTTTAATTCTGTATTATACCTTAGTTGGATCTGGATCACAATAATCTAATAATGAATCAAGAAAATGATAACCAACTGATTCTAAATCTTCCATTGTAAAATGTTGTCCAGCTTTATCGTCCAATGTTGAACCACAAAATGTTGCCTAAAAAACATATAAAAAAACAAAAAAAAAATGAATTAATCGAATAATGGATAATAGTTCATATACTTCTAGTGTATAACTATTTAATATTCCCAACGACCACATGACAACTCGACCAGTTCCTTCTTTATGTTTTTGGACTTTAAATTTACATGAACAGTAGGAAAACTGAAACATAAAAAATAAAATTATTTGAAAATAGTATAGTTATGTATTTTTTACTTACTTTTGTTGGATCATTTTTTGATAGCATAGCTGGAAATAGTCGTTCTTTCAAACGTAAATTTGGTAAATGTTTATTTTCACAACCGTATATAAAAATATTTTGTTTTCTAAATAAATTCCAATAAAATATAATATTGTTAAGTAAGACTTGTTTTTAATTAGTAAAACAAACCTTGAGTGTCCATGAAAATCACAGTAAAGTACTAGTTCTGTTTCAGTCATAAATCTGAAAAGAAAAAGAACTATAGTTACTGAATGATCGATAATTTTTTTTCTTCTTTATACCTTTTTATCATTTCACGTGTATGCCATATTGATGGATAAGCTTCTTTTAAAATTGTTTTATAATTTCGATTAAGATCTCGACCAGACAATGAACAACGATAATTACCAACAATGACACCATCTAAATAGAAATAAATCAAACGAATATTTAAAATCAGTGTATAAAAGAATATTTTACCAGGATTTAACATTGGAATTATTTTAAATATGAAATTATCACGTAATATCTACAAAAATGATATTATCAATATGATATACATCGAGAATAAGAATAAAAATTATACTTTTGCATCTGGTGAATTGCCTAATAAAAAGTCTAGTAAACCTTTCATCATCCAACTACCATTCGTTTCACCTGGATGTACTCGAGCTGTTACAACAACTCCTGAAATGAATAAGTTTAGAATATACACTATATGATATATGAGATTATATTTTTTTCAAATAATGAATAAATATTACCTTTTTTAACTTGTTCACTGTTTGGTGGATGATCAGTTGATGATGGATTTGTTATTGTAAGTAGATAAATAAAGTTTCCAGCTAATGTTCGACATAAAATTTTTTGTTTACAGTATTGACTTTTGACTCGATCAGTTTGTATATCAGTTAAGTAGTTCTATAAAATAAAAATAAGATAAAAATTAACCAAAAAATTGATAATATTCCACTTCTAACCTGTAAATCAGAATATGTATATGGATAACAATGTGCAAAATAATATGTATCATGATCATTTGGAAATTTACATGTCCATGAGAGAGAAAATAGACTTGTTCCATCATTATCTGGTGAACTAGAAAAAAAAAGCATTTATGATATTGTAAATGTTTATTAAAAATCTAAACAAATAACAACATACGGTAAAGTATTTTTATAATAAACAATTTCTTCTCCCCATCGTCTCCATCCAATACCTTTAGTTTCGGCATCCTGAACGCTATACATTAACGGCTTCATTCCAATATTGTAGAGACTAGTGGGCTAAAAAACAATGAGTGAGATCAATAAACACTCCTAAAAATGGCTACTACATTATATTGTTATGCTTTTCGACTGTTAATGAGTAACAAGTAATAAAAATAAATTAATAACTATCCTATCGATATCTTAGCATCTAAAAAGAACTTACTTTAAAGAAGTTTACTATAGTAAATCGATATCGTTTATTGGATTTAATATTTTCCAAACGAAAGTAAAACCATTGCGTATTTCGTTTTGTATATAAATCATAACGTAAATAGAGTTCATATTCATATTCACCTCTAAAAATATAAGGAAAAAATGATGTCTGAAAGAAAGTATACGCAAATGACATTCTCTTACACTTGTACGGCTTTCATTAAATTTCCACTTTCAAAACGAGATTCAAATATAACTGTTGCATCATCTTCGCCACGAATTGCAACTGTTGCTGGCCGACAACCTTCCCGATTTCCACCAATACGTGAACGAATAAACTAAATTACAAACTAGAATTATAGTCTGTGTAAAGCAAAAGATGCCTTTGTTCAGCTGAAAACCCCTTTTTCTCTCTCATTCGTACAGAATTGGAATAATTGCAATAGTTACTTACATAGCCACATGTTTCAGGATTATATTTGAAAACAACTCGACTATTTGCTTCATCAGCACTTCGAACAAATGGCATATGATTATGGTTTGACACTAAACGATGTTTAGTAAAATAATGATACTAAATTACATTAACAGTATGCTTACTTGGTTTATAAAATAATTCTGGCTGTGTTGGAGAAGTAAAAATATGCTTAACTCGTGCCTCAGGTAAAACTTCAATTTCAATTGGCCATCTTGGCTCATTCGAATTCTCATCTCCACAGCCACGTAACAGGCCAAATGGAATGCGAGCTTGGCGAAGATTTATCTAAAGGAATAAGCAAATATTCAATTTCCATAGGCTTTTTTCTCTTCTGCTTACTGCACGTTGGTCGGGTACAAAGGCTCTCGCTTTTAGTTCTATAATGAGAAAAGAAATTGAATAATATCAAACAATTCATTGAATTAAAGTACGAAAACTGCAACAGGCACATAGTAAGCAATCAGAATAGATCATAACAAGTGCGTGAGGTTTACATGCAAAACATACAATTTCCAAAAATATTTCTTAAACGTCGGATGCCATAAGAAGTTGATAGAAAGTGAGCACTAGTGAAACTTGTATAAATATAAGTACGAATATTTTCACACTTAGAATAAATTTCGAATTGTTTTTCTTCTTGAACATAGTTGTTTAAGGAAGAATCTGTGACTCTATATGGTCGTACATTCGATGGCTATGACTGTCATAAATAAAAACAAAATGTAAAGAAAATTTTTCAGTGGATTCACTCAAGATCTTGGGTACAAGAAGTTTCACTAGGAAGACCTTTTGACGTGTTGCAGCTGCATATGTTTTGCATTAGAGTAGCTATGTCACAGCATAATTAACAGCCATAGTGATGAATGATGAGACATTTTTTTATAGCAAGTATATTCTCACATGATAAAAGTTTGCATCTACTTAAAACAGGCAGTGCTAGCATGTGTAAATGCTTGCCTCCTCCAACAATAGGTGGAGCTGAAAACACGGAAATATCATCAGTTCCACGAATACCACGTAACACTTAAAGAGGAAAAACGAGAAAAGTCGTATTGTCATGTTTGCGATTTTACAAACTACGAAGAGACATGCAACATTCGCATTTCTTACCCGATAAACAATGCAATGACCGATGAGAACTAGCTTTTCCTGAAGAATATAGTTTACTACATTATTAAATGGCAAAAACAGCTATGTAATCTAGTTTTAAATTTTAAAGCATTTGTAAACCTACTTGTTTGCTCATCATCACTCGAACTCGAATCTGTATCGCTCGATGAAGGCACTAATTGAGATTTTGACGGAAGAAAACCATATTTTCGTACTGCTTCACTACGACCTATAAGATAAGAATTATGACACATCCACTTGTAATAAATAGACTTGAATCTATACCGGTAAAATAACCATAGTGCTGTAAATGTTTGCGCATAAAACTGTCATATGGACTCTAAATAAATGCAACAAAATGGAAACTCTGCATTCACTACGTTAACAGGACGTTATATCTTACTGAATATAGAGAATAATCCACAGAATCCATTTCTCACGAAGTTAAACTTTTCCTTTGTATATATCGAGTTTTGTAGCAGAAAATGATCAAAAAAATTTACGTTAACTTAATGATGATCCACAATATACAGTTTTGGTTCATTCATGTAGTTAAAGAAGGTCCGAATACAGAGCTCATGCATGTTCATCTAAAAAAGCGCAGGTAAAGAATCTCTTCACGATATCAAACCTGAAAAGGTCGTTCGGTTAGTATAGCACATTAACAAACATACAAAAAAATGGCTGCACGACAGTGGTGTAGCCATCGGATGGGCTCAGCCCACCCACTAAAAGTTTTATAATTCTACTCTGCACTAATGTCTACCACTCTCAAAAAATTTGGAGCAACGCCCACCCACTATCAAAATTCTCGCTACGCCACTACTGCACGATGTACCTTTTACTTATCAAACTAGATACACAAGGCCGTATTTCTTTACGGGAGTATTTTACGTCTTTATCTTTTATCTTCATATCTTCAGTGTTATGTATGTAGTCTTGGATGGAGATCGTATTTCAAAGATGTATTCCAGTCTTAATAAGACTGTCTTATATCAGCTAATATTCATCATTTACAGAATACAAGTGTTCTTTTCTACAGTGTTCTTTTCTACAAAGTGTAAAATCTTTGATCGAGCGTTTCAACTTTGCGGTTTGTGTTCAGGTCTATTTTGTTTTAGCTTCATTCCGTAACTGTATTCTATAGTGTACAAGCGGCGTTGGCAACCAATAATGCTGATTTTACTGTAACAACTACTTATGCACGAGAATTGGCATAAACAACTTTTATTGGCTATCGACAACCTATAAGTTTCATCTGGGGCAATCCATCTTTTACGTAATTCAATGCAGTTTTCGAGGCCTTTCCCTGGTGCTTTGGATACTCTAGACATATAGCAGTTTTGTGCCTGGTGTATCTTGACCTTTTTTGAGATACAGTAACACTTCTTATAGAGACCCCTCCTATATACTAACCACTTTTTCATCTGATGGAATGGTTGTTGCTGAAGGTGAATAAAATCTCCTGGAGCCTGTTTCTCAAAAAACTTGAGTATTCCACTTAAGTGGATTTTTAAGGGAGAATTAAGTGCTTGAGTATACTCAAATTTCCTTTAAGTGCGTTTCTCAGAGAACTTAAGTTAAATAGAGGCCAGCCAGTAAAAAACACTCATATTTTAACAAATTTAGATTTTGATGAAATCTTTTGAAAAAAATCCATCAAAATTATTTTCTATATATTTATTGTGGGTCTAACTACGAAAAAACGTAAAATAAAGAAGTTACAAATTCTAATAATTTTTCACTTAAAAAATGAAGTGAAAACTAAAGTGAAATTAAGTAAAGTGAAATTAAGTAGTGAAATTAAAGTGAAGGATAGTCAAGAGGTGACCTCTACCTCTAAGAGGTCCCTTAAGTTAAGATGCTTTCGAGAAACTTACTTAGCCAAAAACTTAGCCAAAAACTATCTTCTGTAAATAAGCCACTCGGTATAACTAATTTTTAGCGAAGTAGATTACGTATACCGTAACGCAGTTAATGAATATAGAGCTGTTCAGCGATACTTTGTAAAATTTATCACTCCCCCCTGCTCGCTTGTGTAATGAAGCTGGTACTTGCCTTTTTTTCAGAGGTAAATTTACTTGTAAGTACTTGTTCAAGCACTTGGCTGACTCAATGCAAGTAAATTTACTTGAAAAAGTTCAGCCAAGTGCTTATTCCATTATCTTTATATTGTATTTTTGTATCTATTCTGCAGTCATACTCTACTTTCGTAGAGCAGACGTGCATGATTATCAAGTTTGTTCAACTCAGTAGAAATATCTAAATTTATTTTTGTAAGTTTATACTGATTGATATTGTGACGTTTATATATGTTGTATCGAAGTTATAACTTCGATAACATGTTGTATCAAAGTTGTTTTGATTTAGCTCAGTAGTAGTTATTTGATTATTTGAATTCTACTATGTCATATTTATAGGTATTGTGTGTATAAATTAAGCTTAAGCAATCGAACGAGAAGAACTTTGAGTCAGACTGGTCCTCTGTTCATAGCTGCAGCTTTATTGATAATCAGTAATAGAATGGGTGATGGGCACCTGCGAAGCTTGCGAGCTTGAGGAAACATATCGAGCTTTCGAAAATGATCCTTTTAGGCGTATTTTCATCCTAAAACTGGAAACGGTAAAATGAGGTATTCCTCTATACGATAAGTGATATAGAAGCAGGGTTTTAAACGGGCCTTTGGGACTTCTGGAACACTAGTGGCGTCCCAAGAGCGTCGGGACAGTCCTGGGACTCTTAGGGTACTAGTAGTGCCATAAGAGTTCTAAGAGTATCGAGATAGTCCTGGGATTCTTGTCACACTCAATGAACGTACAGAAGCAATAGAGGATTCTTTGAGGCTTTTGAAGCACTAGCAGTCTACAAAGTGTACATATCATACTCTACACCCTCCCCTTCACCCAGTGTCTCAAGAGTTTCAAAGAACCTTGTATTGTCTCCATACGTTCGTTGAGCGTTCCAAGAGTCCCAGTACTGCCTGGACGCTCTTGGGATGTCACTAGTGTTCCAAAAGTTCCAAAGGCCGGTTTAAAACCCTGCTGTTATATTTACTTACTGTATCGAGGAATATCCCTTTTACGTTTCCGGTTTTAGTTAAAATCGATTAATCAGTTGACGAGATTTTTTTACAATCACTTTTACAATAGGTTGTAATTCTACATAATTGATTTTTAATTTTTAGATGTATATTTATGATTAAATTATTATCGCGTATGAACTGTGCACCAGTCAATTAATTGACGTCAATAACGATTTCAACAAAAAAGGGTAGCCAGAATCATACAAAAGAAGATGGTTGTTGCTAATGCGATGGTATAACTTGAGTTTACAACTTCTCTCAATAGTCAACAATCTAAATGAAAAACGGTTTCTTTTAGGTCTGTTTAGAACTGCTAGTATTGAAATGAAATTATCCTTCTGTGAGTGCCCAATGACTTTGGTCTTATATTATTATACCAAATCCTGAACTGGTTTTCATTGTTATCAAGACTAAGTCTAATCTGCAATGAACAAAATAGAAGATCGGATAGGTTAGTTCAACGTACAAAACAAGAAGAAATTTCCTTCACCAGAGTAGGAAAGTTTTACAATCTCCCAAAGTTAATTGTCTTGGCTTCTTCTACTAAGATATTTAAAAACAGACTGAAGCAACATTTACAGCTCTAACGAGGAGACCTATCCAAGTGATACCTTCCGATTTCGTTCGTTCGTACATCGACCGATAGAGAGTATCGAACTAGTAAAAAGCCTAAAAGGATTTTTCCCCATGACTCTTGAAGACCCGGTTTTCTGGAGAACCAGTTTTTCAGAAACTCTTAAAAGTAACCAAAACCTTTTTTAACGAGGCATGATTGTAACCCGCAAATTTCTAATTAAAATGAGACATCTCCCACCTCTACAAGACCTTTCTTTGCAAAGTTATAGAATTTACAAAAAAAGCCTTAAATTAATTTCTCCGTATTTCTGTAACTTTGACCTTTTTGTAAATTCTATAACTTCGCAAAGAAAGGTCTTGTAGAGGTGGGAGATGTCTCATTTTAATTAAAAATTTGCGGATTACAATCATGCCTCGTTAAAAAAGGTTTTGGGTACTTTTTAGAGTTTCTGAAAAACTGGTTCTCCAGAAAACCGGGTCTTCAAGAGTCATGGGGGAAAATCCTTTTAGGCTTTTTACTAGCTCGATACTCTCTACCGATCGACGTATGAACGAACGAAATCAGAAGGTATCACTTGGATAGGTTTCCTCGTAAGAACAATGTTTTATAGGTGACAGTGTTTATAGGTGTTTAGCACTTTTACTTTTGTCCCAGCAGCAATATTTGTTATTTTTGGTGTTGTAAACAAGTTCAATGTTTGTTGCTTCGTTTACTCCAAAGTTAAACTTGTTTTTCTTCCTTTTGTTGCTGCAAAAATAAACATCAATCAATCAACTTCGAAGTTTTGTTTGTAGTCTATCTAAAGATACTGCCTTATTTTAGTATAATATTATTTTTAACTGGAAAAGCCCAGTTGTACAATCAAAAGAAATACTACTACATGGTCAAAATAACTTTGAACCCAAAACCAAAAATCTTTTTGTTAAATTAAGGTGGATATCAAAATGTAAACAAGGTTCAACTAAGTTAAGACGGCAAGACTTTTTCGTGTATTCACTTCCGTTTTTCTCGTGACTCTTTCCAATTTATACCCTTTTACCACGCACCCTCGTCCAAATTTTACACCGAAAGTTCAGGGTGGGACTTGTGCATAGGTGTCCGTACGCCGATAGTGAGGAACTTTTCGACTTATGTGAGGAGTAACAGTTAGTCTACTATGTTTTTAATTATTTAAAAAGGACATTACTGCGCTTTCTACGATTCTGATTTGTGCAATGCTCCTATCATAGAAGATGTATTTTACGGGGACTATTATCACTCGGCTAAAAGATCAAAAGCAGGACACTATTTTTACAACAAACGCGTCATGAAGCAAATAAAGACTCGTAAATCCGTGCTGATATCATGGCTAGCCTTTGTTTACGATAAAGAAGAGAAGTAATATAGGGAAATTATCCTTTTTGTTTTTTGTGCACATGGTCTTAATTTTATCCTTTTCTAGTTAATTTAGCAGTACAGTGCATGGTTCAGATAATATATAGGCCCTATTGTTGTAACTCTCAATTTAGTTTTAAATCAACATGTCTATATCTTTTCCAAAATGTAACATTTTTCTTACGCCTTTGTATTCTTAAGGTTCTTTTTTTTGTTTATAACTGTGTTTACCAGTCTATTATTATTCAACTGATCGTACTTTACCTGGGTTGACGACAAGTTTTTTCGCTGCCCATTATTTCAAAAACTTCTCTTAAGAATTAACTCTTGGTATTATCAAAAAAACTAAAAAATTTTCTATCAATGTCTCGTCGTATTTGACTTTTCTGCATTTTTCTAATGTTTTAGATGTCAACAATAATCAAACCTCCCTTCTCCTTACCTTCATTGAACATTGAACAAGATGATCCATCGAATGGGGTTAGAGCTCAACCATGCAGCGATATTGAAAATGATAATATTTTATATGATGGAGATGAATTAAATCAAATTCGTTCACAAACATCAAGTAATATCAATACATTACGTACGAAAAAAGATATAGCATCGACAACACAAGAAGGAAAAGAAAATTGTAATGATGAATTAGAGTTTACCAATACAAATTTGCTTTTATATGACGAGCAACATCAGTACGCACTAGAAGAAAGATATAAACAACGTTTAATTGATGGTACAACATCGTTCGAAGATCAAATCGTATCCATGTCACATATAATTAAAACAGATGGAAGAAATGGGAAAAAAATTGGAAGCGTCAATAGTAATTCTAGTCAAGATGATCATGGTGGAATATGGAAACAAGTGTTGTATGTTGGATCTGGACATCAATTATCACAAGGTATAACAGTGAAAATCCACTATAGTGCTTACTTTGAATATATGGATGAACCATATGATTCAACCTATAAGCGTCATAAACGTCCATATGAATTTCATCTTGGCCGATGTGAAGTACTGCCAGGAATTGATTACGCTGTGAGTACCATGCAACGACGTGAACGATCAAAATTTATTATCAGCAGTGATTTATTATACGGTTCTGTAGGATGTAGACCAAGAATCGTTGAAAATGCTTGGAGTCTTTTTGTTATCGAATTAATATCCGCCATTAATATGACAGCCGATGAATTAGTAGTACCAAAAACATTACAACAACAGAATATTGATGATTTTGATAAAAAAGTAAAAATCGCTCAAACATTAAGAAATATGGGCAATGAAGAATATGCGAAAAATAATTTAGAAAAAGCGATTCGAAATTATAATAAAGGAAAACAATTTATACTTAAAACACATATATTAAATGAAGAACAGGAAAAACAATATCATCAACTGTTATTGAAGTTATATTTAAATTCAGGTAAATTGATAGACACAAAAATCTTCTATAGATAATCATAAGACTGTAGAACCAGAATAACTGTAAAGATATATTCACAAAAGTTTTTGCTAACAGAATTATGTTCAATCATGTGCTATTTAATCAATTACTCTTAAATATTATACTTTGTCATTTGTTTTTAGCTCAATGTTATTTAAAATTAAAAAATTTTGAAAAAACTATTAGAAATTGTCTTGACGCACTACAAATTGATTTATATAACATTAAAGCATTATATCGTATTAGTATGTCATATCGTTTATTACAAAAATTTGATCAAGCAAAAATATATCTTGATAAAGCGATTAAATTAGAACCGAATAATCAAGATTTAAGTGGAGAATTACAACAGTTGCACACAGCAATTGAACATCAAAAGAAAAATGAACAAACGTTTTATCAGAAAATATTTAATACTCAAACTTCTACAACAGATAAAAACATTCCTTTACAAACTTATGAGTATGTTTTCTATTGTTTGTTTTTAGGTTTCTATAAAGTTGAAATTTAAGGATCAGGGGATCATATCGCGAAAAAACTTAAGTGGAAGTCTAGACTTAAGTCAGACTTAAGTGCATAAAATTCGCACATAACGAAGACTTAAGTCCAAATTTTGACTTAAGGTTTCTTGTAATACGACCCCCAGAGACACTTTAATATATAATACATATAAAAATTTAAGTACATCTTACAGTTTTTTTCCCATTTTTTCAAAAATTCATTTAAGTAATACTAAACGATGTTGTAAGAAAGAAGTTCATGTTCTGCTATGATAATAACACTTTTTGTCGTTTAGATCTCCATCAATTAACAGTGATTTTGCAACCGATACAGCCGATCAGCTTGATTCAGCTTTGTCATATATTAATGTATCTGATACATTCAAAGAAACTCTTAGCAAAGTATTAAATGATTTTAAACAAAATAAAAGTAGTGAAATGTTTCCAATTCATACCGAAAATTTTAGTAAAATAGAAATTTATTATATTGAATTGTTTTCAAAACGTTTGGATTTTTTAACAAAACGAACTAATCAAAATGATCGAGAAATAATTGAAATTACGAAAAAAGCTCCGTTCATTAACAAATAAAGCCATATCGATGAATTTTTGAGAATAAATTTTTGTTTTTTTCTTTCAGTGTCAAATAGAGTCTACAACAGACTACAGTTATGTACATATTTTTCATATTTGAAGGCATTTACTTTTTGTTGTTCCTGTTTATTCCTTGAAATATGTATATTCACACATATTTTCTTCTGTATTTTTTTAGTAGTATTTTGTCGATTGCTTTCTTCATTCATCTTCGATTGTAAATAGCTTAACACTGTATGTGTGATATCGTTATCTGTTTTTGTTGAGTTTTCCATGATCGAAAATAGTTCATATAAAACAATCAGTAGAATAATAAATCATTTGCTTTGGACATTTGGTCACTCTACTACAGTAAATACTTAGATGAATACTTAGATTTGTGTACAATAGCTGCAGCGCGATTGACGATTTGAATAGATGTCGATTGTTTGTTGCGCGCTCAAAATATGGGAAAATGGCCGTGAGATATTCCATCGATAAGCCAATCACAAGAGAAAAAAACATAATATTCTTTTTTAACCACGACAGAGAAAATATTTAGAGACCGCTGAAATATCTACTAGTATAATGCAGAGAGAAAAAGGCAAAGCAAACACTTTGTGTAGTCCTGAGAAAAGATGTCACCAGAAATCAGTCTAAATTTGATGACACAAAAAAAAAGTTGTCTACAGATAATAAAACTTACAGCGTATAGACAATCTTTCATAATGAATCGATCAGAAATACTTCCAGTCCCCTCGAGATCTTCAGAGGGTGTTTGCTCTTTATATTCCTTAATGGCATCATATGGTCAAACTTTAAAAGCGGAATGGTATTCGCAACGCACAACATAGACATAAAAATAATTGTCTTAGCCTTTGTAAGTCGAAAATGGAAGTATTGAAAATGGAAACTGGAAGTATTTTTGATCGATTCATTATGAAAGATTGTCTATACTCTGTAAGTTTTATTATCTGTAGACAACTTTTTTTTTGTGTCATCAAATTTAGACTGATTTCTATATTAATACCGATTACAAATGGGCAATCGAATTGATCAGAGACGGGGATAGATTAGACAACCATTATAAGAAATAGATTTAAGTAAGAAATATAGCACTGCGACAAAATGCATGTTCAAGTTTTCACTTAAAACACTACTCGAGTTTTCGACCTTTATTCAAGGGTCATTATCAGGAGTGATTCACTCCTGATGATGTCTCTTGAATAAAGGTCGAAAGCTAGAGTAGTGTTTTAAGTGAAAACTTGAACATGCATTTTGTCGCAGTGCTATATTTCTTACTTAAATCTATTTTCTTCACTGCACCACCTCCAAATTTTGTTATTATAAGAAATTTCAACCAGGTGGAGATTATTATTCAATGATTGTGAATGGACATATAAAAGGTATTTTCAGTGTTATTTCAGAAAAAAATTAATACAGATATGATTATTTAAAAATCTCGAATGTGCAGTTGGCTGATTTTAACCTTGTTTGTCTTCTTTCTAAAAGCTTTGTGCTGAGAATTTTTTTTGGCGTTTGTAGTATATAGAATTGAACACAGTTGTTAGCGCAGCCAAGTATGATAAAATTATTTTTAGACTGGTAAAATCTGACACTGAGACGTTTATTTTAGAAAAAGTGGGATTCTCTTCTCTAACTTTTCTCTTGTTTGAATATTTTGGATTTTCGTATAATAGATTTCCGACGATCTGAAAAAGATATTCGTAAACGGTTAATTGGTTTAATAGATGTACTTTATCCAGATGGTTATTTTACATTAGAAATACTGTATTCCACAACAAACACATAAACAATAACATTGTTGTACGCAAAATAATCTTTTCAAATTGATACCCTTTGTCTCGATATTGAATCAAAATATTTGCTGCTGGATAAATTGGCTTTTATTCATAAACGTGTTTCTCAACTTCACGATACAAGGCAGTTAAAACAGATAGTCAAAATTAAACAATCAAAAGGGCGTCATAGATAAATAACTGACATTTTTGTTGCAATAAAAGATTGAATGCATGATATGAGGTAGAATACTTTAACATTTGAAAGATGGTCATAACAAATACAAGTCGGATTTATATAGAAAAAGTCTATAAATAATGTAATATGATTCTTCATCTCGAAGTCGTAAAAGACATTCCTTTCAAACCAGTTATACGAGTTTCGCGAAAGAATTATAGTTTATATCTCTGAGAAATGCTTCCTTCAATGTGAAAAATGCTACTTAAACATTTTTTATTTAGTCCTATTTTTATTACAAAAAAAGAAACAGAACGATGGAAAAAGATAAACTTCTGTAAGTTCCTATGGTGCAGTGGAGTACACAGAAGACTGATAATCTTTGCAGGTACAGAGTTCGAATCTCTGCAGGGGCATTGTTTCTTTTTTCCTAGCTTCGAACTTCATTTTCCAATTCTGTTTAAGAACTAACCTTTTGTCTATTCAATTTTTGTTGGCATAAAAAAAGAGAAGAGAAATCTTTGTTCTGCGGTAGAGCGGGCAAAAAAGAAATAGAAAATTAACTTGATAAAGCCAATCAGTGATATTTGACACTTGTCTTTCTGGTTGGAGGTTCATGATTTACGATACAACAAAACAAAATCAAAATCGTGTAATTTCGAAAAAACTAGAGGTAAGCCGATGAAATATAACTTAAAATATGACTGACTACCTATCCCAAAATATAATGCACTCCGTTGTTTTTTGAATAACTCAAAAACAATAAACGATAGAGACATGTGGTTCTCAGCAATCAAAAGATGACAGTTTAAGCTATATTTTCACAGGAAACATGGTCTTTCAAAAACATTCCAAAGATCGCTTTTCTACAAGATTTTTGGAAAACCTGCTCGGATTTCTAGAAATCGACATAGTAATCTATTGCTCTTTTTTCGTAGATAGATAGTCGGAAGTGTCCTCTGAAAAATAAGATCTAAGCAAAAGTTTGATTTTCCTTGGTTCGAACACTACGGACCTTTTTCCGAAGCCCTAGGACCTCTCTGTCGTTAGGTTCAGACTGTCCGAAACATATAACCGGAAAAAAAATAAAGTTAGTTTTGAGTTGCTGAAAAGTGTTCTTTCGTGTTCAGCACACTGGATAATCCGGAAGATTTTCTATTTTTGGCGAGGGGTACTTCCAAAAGTTTAGGAAAAATTTTCAAACTAATATTACTTTCTCATGGAAATTTTTCTGCACCATTTTGTTCAAAATTTTTCCTAAACTTTAGGAAGTACCCCTCGCCAAAAATAGAAAATCTTCCGGATTATCCAGTGTGCTGAACACGAAAGAACACTTTTCAGCAACTCAAAACCAACTTTATTTTTTTTCCGGTTATATGTTTCGGACAGTCTAAACCT